TTGTATAGATACATTGTTGATCCTTATGATGTGCAGTTTTACCTCACTAAATCTCTCACTTATAAGTATAAAACCATCCTCAGTAAGTATCGGTTACAGTCCCACACATAAAGTATAGAAACAGGCAGATATAACGGTATTTCCAGAGCCCAAAGGAGTTGTCCTTTGTAATAGTGATGGCTTGATTACAGCCGTCAAGTGTTTCTTGAGAAAACATGACTTCCATCCATTAGGACTATTTCAGCCTTTTATACCACTTCTATGGGAATTTTTTTTTATAAAAGTCAAAAAGGTGCCAAAGACTTCTACAATGCTATTATTAAGCCAGCTCCAACCCCTACTACTATTCGAAAATGGAGTGATGAGTTTGACTTTGATGATCAGAAGTGGAAAAATATATTAATAATTCTGTTTACTATTACAAAAAGTTCTAAGCTACAGTGGTTTCAAGTAAGGATTATACATCACATTCTGGTTTCGAACTCCTTTCTTTTCATTATTAATTTAATACCTAGCTCTTTATGTACACTATGTAATATGGAAAGAGAAACTATCGTTCACTGTCTATGGGAGTGTATAGAGGTACAGACTCTATTGGAGAGATTTGAATCTCTTCTTGATATTCTTCTGATTCCTTTCTGGATAAACAAAGAAACATATTTATTTGGAATTATCCATCCTAATGCTAACACTGTAGATAACGAAATTTTAATTCTCATTAAACACTCTGTTTAAGTAAATGTCAAGATGTCTACAAAAATCTCTTAATTTAAATGCTCTTATAAATAAGATTAAGGATCATTTCCATGTTCAAAAGTACATTTCCAGCAAAAACACTTAAGAAAACAATTTCGAGAATAATTGTAAAAAAATGGATGCCCATTTTGGAACTATAGTATGTATGCTAACAAGTCTGTTCCCAATGGCCATGGCCTTGACTTTACCAAACTGACTTTAAATTTATTGAATTTCCACAAAATTAGTGCTATTTTTATTTAATAATGATTATAACCCTCCCAATTCTCTCTCTTTTTATATATATATATATGTATTCATGAGTGAGTATGTGTGAGAAAATATCTTTGATAAGTGTAAATGATATTGTATGTGTGTGTGTGTGTGTGTGAGTATTTTGTTAAGTACATTAAGTAAGTTTGCTATGTGAGTGTAAGTGGGTGTGAATGTTGATGAGTGAGTTTGTGTGCAGTAAGTAGTAGATACATGTGCATGATGATGATGATGATGATGCATGTATATGTGTAAGACATATTCAAGTAAGAGCACACAAGTGTGAGAGTGTGGTTGTATGTTTTTGTGTGGTTTCTCATGTATATTGTGTAATATGTAAAAACTTGTCAAAAAATAAAAGAATTACAAAAAAAAAAAAAAAAAAAAGTTTATTCAGAGCTCAGAATCAAATATATTAAACCCTATTACTTCCGTTGTCCGTCTGTCTTCAAATTAATACAGCTGTTGTCCTGCAAAAATGTGGAGAGTTTGAGAAATCTTAGTAAATATGTTATTTATTCTACTTCTAAAAGAAAGTCTCTTCTTAACATTTAATCAAATGATATATTTCTAGCTTAATGCTACTGACAATCATTGTATATTTTCATTGGTTCTTGTATGTTGATAATGTTGTAAAGTCATTCGCCATTTTGCTGTAAATGTAATATTATTAAAAATATATATATATATATATATGATCCTTTTGTAATCCTACATGCTATTCGCATTTGGAATAAAGGAATTATGTGAAAAAAATTGATTTAATGAGAAAAAAAATCATATCTCAAAACTATCAATGCAGGCATATATCTACTTTATCGATCGTTATAGACTTTTGTAGTAGCGATACACTGTCTGCTGTGAACTTGGTATTTATTTATTTAAGGACCAAATAACTTGTAATCACTCATGTAAGACTGGTTTATAATTGTGTAAATCTGATACATGTGTGACACTTCTTTTGCTTAAACTGCAATAAAAAAATGATGTCATGCATATCTGGATTATTTCACAATTTTATTAAAGATTCGATAGGACCTTAATAAATTCAAAATGACTTGGAAAGTTTTTTTTCTGTCATGTTTTCCAAATAATGAATTTCGTTTTCGTTTCATTCTAAATTCATGAAATTCTATTCAGTTTCGATTTTACTTACTTAGACTTGTTTCAAAATTCTCATATTAAACTAAATTATGTAAGTACTTGTAGAGTTGAAGATATTTGACCCCAGTGACCTTGAAAGCTAGTCAAGGTCATTCCTCATACCGAGCTACATACTTCACTGCAGTACTCTAGGCCTAATGGTTATTAAAAAGAAGCATTTGAAGATTTTGACACATTGGACTCCTGTGATTTGGAAAGTAGGTCAAACTCATTCATCTGAGTAAGCATTGCAACCCTCTATCGCAACACCTAAATACCCAATATCAGTACCCTGGGCCTCTTGGTTATTAAAAAGGAGTTGTTTGAAGATATTACTACATTTGGCTCACGTGATCTTGAATGTGAATCAATATCATTCATTCAAGCATACTGCATGTCCAATATCACTACATTTGACTCAATTGACCTGTAAAGTGAGTCAAGGTCATTCATTTGAACCAACTTGGAAGTCCTTCATCTAATCATGCTAAAGACCCAATATCAGCACACTGAGCCTTTTCATTATGTGAACAAGTCTTTTAAATCAACATTGTCTGAAATTGTTCCAAGGTGTCAGCTCACTTGCCCTTCGGGCAGGTAAGTATATGTTTTTGTGTGAAAGTGATAGAATTATAGGATTCCAATTGTTTTTCCTTAAAATAGGAGCCACATCACATACCAAGTAGACATGGCATTTCAAAGCCAGCAATCAAATGTATTTTTGAGTCAAAACACAATTTCAATGTCAATGAGAGTGTTAGCTGTTATAATATTGGAGAGGTTGGGTATTTTATATTGGTATAACTTCCCTGTGGTCACTGCTTTTTCAAGCATACACATACCTAATATTCTCTATGTGTCAATGGTAAAGCAATGTCTAGGACATAAATAAACTTAATGATACTAAGCCAAGTGGTATATGGGCCATTTGGAGTGGCATAGACAAACATCACAAATAAACAGTTCACAGATGATGGCAATATTGTAAGTAAATACTTACATGCATTCATGGGAGGGGATAGAAATAGCCATGGTATATAATGAATTCTCAATTTTAAAGATCTTACTTGAGTATACATACAAATGTTTTGTGTACTTGACTGTTTTTTCATTAAAGTGGGATATGACATAAATTTCGAACGAGAAGTATAATCTTGCACAGTACAACAACTGTCATTACAGCCAATACCTGAAGATCACTTCATCCGATAGTTATTGACACCGAACTGCTTATACAGATTAGTTTTAGTAATATGAATATTGATTACGAAACAATTGAAAAACCAAAGCAAACAGATAACAAAGCAATTATCCATGACCTGTACTTAATCATTTCCGTACACTTTTATTCTGAAAACCTAATCTAACAGCTCTTATATCTACTATTGTCTCGTCCTACCGTATCTTAAAGCATTCTGAAGCCAGATAAAACGAATTCAAAAATATATATCTGTTATAGTCATCATTACATCATACATTTCTCATTAAAAATTATTGCACTATGTAAGTAACAATGTCAACATAGTATATACATTTTACACACCTTCAATAATGCTTGCATGATTTGTCATTATTGTTTTTTTTTACCGTAAGTGAAATCAGTAGTATATATGATTACCGTAAACTGTTTACGTGCCTTGGAAATTTTGTTATATATCGACAAATGTATAGAGTGATAAGCTTATCAATAAAAAAAAATAAAAAAAAAAAAAAAATAACAGAGGTATCAAAATACAAGAGCCCCATGGGCCTTAACGGTCATCTGACATAAAATACAAGATTTCAAATTTTGAACTTATTTCACCTGGATTCAAGAATCAAGGGCACTCAGACACTTTGAAAGTGGGTAAAGGTTATTCATATTCAACAAACTTCGTAAACCTTCATCCCAGCATGCTACAGGCCAAATATCATCACCCTGTGTGTTCTGGTTATTTAGAGGGTGTTTGAAGTAACAAACTTTGGTCAGTGCCATGTCATGATCATTTCATGCAAGTTTTGGCTCAATTGCACTGGTGGAACTTGAGAAGAAGTCAAAAAGGTGTTTTCAAGATGGCGGTCATGGCAGCCATCTTGGATTTCGGACCAACGCAAAATTAACAAACTTATGTCAGGATCATGTCACAATCATTTCTGGTAAGTTTCAGCTCAATGAGACATGTACAACTTGAGAAGAAGTTGAAAATGTTTACGACGGACGGCAGACAATCCCCGACAAAAGGCTAAAAATCCAGTGATTGTTGAAATTCACAAATCACCAGTTCACTATGGGTTGTCCTATGGTCATTCTGATGATACTATAACTATTGTCACTGGCCGTTGTACTGTAACTACACATTACTTTAACTTTCAACTTGAGATCATAGTTACTTTAACCTCCAACATGAAATTATAATTTTTAAGTTCAAAATGTTTAGTATATTATTATCCAAGCCATAACTTTTAAACCATTCAATATATTTTACCTGCACTAGACCAGGTGGCTGCGGTGACATGGCATGGTGATCTTCACCTCAAGTTCAAAGGTTAAAAAAGTGATGATTGTTGCTGTTACAAATTTACAAGTTTACTTAATATGCCTATATACAACATAATGACAAAAAGTTAAATAATATCATATGGCAGGTTGTCTGTAAATATTTGTGATAACATTGAGTGTATAATGAATAAAAGATGATAATGCCTCTTATACATGGTATATGATAATAAATACTAGTTCATCTCCACACAACACACCACAGTGTATTGATGATGTGAGATCAGATATGATAAGCAACACAGTAAAAAGATGCAGAATTTACCAGATCTGATTATGGAATATGAAAACAGAATATATTACATATATCCATTTCCATTTTGTAGCACCAATATATGCAGTAGTACAATTTTTTTTTACATAATTGTATTTAATGCTTTAACCAATCTTTAGTTCCAGGAACATTATTCCTGTTACTATTGCAAATCCTATGATTAGAAAACACACTTTTACTAATCTTATGTCACAAGAATTAAATTCATGAGGAAGGACTTCAAAGAATGTTATATAAAGAAATGTTCCACAGGCTATACCCTGGAGAATGCCTTGTACAAGTGTTGAAACTTCTGAATCCCACAGATCTATTATACCGATTCCAATCCCAATTCCAACTGGAGCAGATAATCCAAATATGAATAAAGATCTTATTATTGCAGGCTTAGAAAGTTTACTCTGAACCAGACTCATGCCCAAACTGAAGCTGAGAATTCCTTTATGTAGTAGAAGGGCTGTGAATATATCCAGAACAGATTCTGTTTTCTTTTGAAGACCAACTGCTAGTCCTTCAAACAATGAGTGGATTGATATTGCAAGCAGCAACAGCAGAGAGCGAAGAGTGGAATGTTGGTGTACATAGTCAGTGTGGGTATGACTATCATGACTTGTCTGTCTGTAATAATTGTCATATGACGAAGCGAGTATAGGCTCATCACTTATACCAGATATTGAATGTTCACTAGAGATGGATCTGTTGAATCCCCTTGCGTCTATTTCATTGTCTAAGGTTTCACTATCATCACTCAAAAGAGGTGTTTTGCTGTTAGGGTGGACATTACAACTCTGAGGTTGTGCTGAATGTCTTTCTTTGATAGTCAGGACTATTTGTTCGATTGTCAGTACTGTGAAGAGTCCAAATACCATAGAAAACTCCGCAACAGGAAATTCCGTTTTCAATTTTAGAGCATCCAGTGCCATTTCCAGATCTTTCCTGACATCAGGGAGAAGTTCCAACAGACATGTGGCTAAGAAGACACCAGCTGCGAAACAGCTCAGTATACTTAACGTCCGTTTGTAACAAATTTGTTTGTGGAAACTTATACCCCGCGCGCTTTGCCTCTGCATACACCTGACTATGAGTAATGGTAACAGTCCGAGGGCCAATGTGAACACAAACAGTCCACACATTACCAGGACCTTCACAACTTGGACATCGACCATCTTGTCCGTCAGTAAAAGTTATTGAAGTTTCAGTGAAGGTCATATATCACGTGACAGTCTGGCATGACATTGTGTACATACGTCGTCATAATAGAAGTTAACAATGCTAAACAGTCCAGTTTGTGCCCTATGACATCCGGAAGTAGTTAAAAAATAGGATATGATAAAAACGAATAGAAGAAACCAATATTCCGGAACTTTTCGGATCTTTTATCGATGCTGTAAGTTTTATAACCAGTCTGTTGTAAAGGATTTTCACAATGTAAGCTCTAAGTGATATCAATACAGAAAGTACCATATTGAACTTGAATCCAATTGTTAATAAATAAAGATAATGTCTTGTACTTATATAGTATGAGTGCCGTTTCTACTTTTACAATGCTCAACATGGCCACATTGTAAACAATCGGGATATAATTCACTGACAAGGTATTCTCAATAGGGTTTTAAACTGTGATACACTATGTAGGTCGTATAATGGTGTAGGCATATAAGCTAGTCTCTTTTAGCTAGATATAACAATTCCTGCTGAATCAGTGCGTGCTTACCGTTCTTCGCACACGTGCCTTGATCTAGTCCATCACTTGTCTAAAATGTGAAGTAAATAAAGATGTGAATATAAATAACTGCATTATTAATGTGAACATTGGTATTAGATTATCATTTGAGAGACAGAGATTGTCGGTCTAGATCAATCTTGTCACCTGATATTTTGCAGATCATGAAGAGTTCAGTGGCCGGTCGTTTGACCATGTCATCCTTGTTGGCACCAAGTCTTGACAGCAGTTTGGCTAGTAGTGCTGCCTCCCAAAACAGGAGTAGTGCAAGTCTCACTAAAGCTGAGAAGGAGATAAAGGTATACAAAAGAAATACCAGGGGTAAAAAAAATGAAAAAATTAATATTTGAGCATCATTATTTTTTTTTTAAATTTGTAACTATTGTATAAAGATGGAAGTGATATGATACAATTTATTGTCAGTAATATTCTATGTTGGTCATAACTTCAAAAGGAAAAGAGGACAACTTTAATACAATAACGTGATGTCAAATTAAGATTACTACCTCGTTGAAATCAGTGAAGAGTTTAAGCATGTCATAAATTGTTTACTGTTGAGATAAGGCAATGAAAAATAATCGAGAACATGTACTGTTGGGAGACCGTTTGTTTGGCATGTATCTTCAGTTACTTTTTGTATTGTGATCCATGGAAAAAAGTGATCATGAATCACTTAACATTTAGAATTTACTGTTTATAGAAAGATCCTTGGGATAAGCTTTTAAAATATATATTTTGTTTAGTGAAGAAACTATACATTCTCCTGCTAGAATATAATCGTGAGAAAACATTGAACTTAAAGCTTTATGTATTTTACAAAATGACTCTAATATTATCATGTTATGTATTTAACCCTATGTTTTATACTGTACTATTTACTTAACGAGGGTAAATAAGTATATAATGTCTTCTAAGATCTGACCAATGATTTTCTGGTTGTTGATTTAGAAATTTACATGTTTTCATCAAATTTAGTCCTTGTAGAGATGGTTTATAGTAAATTTGTTACAGCATTTAGAATATTGTCATTAATTTTTGAATGAGAAATTTTCTAATATTATATTTTCAGTCTTTAAAAGCAGAAAATAACAAACTCAGGAAAGATTTAGAAGATGTAAGGTATGTGAAAATATATCTGAGGAACCCTTTGAGGGGAATATGTAGGAAGTTTGTTACTTACAAACACCATTTTTAGGTCACATGACCATAGTACCTGTTGACCTATTGTGATTATTCTTTGTCTGTCATTGTGCGTCATGAATTAACTTTATTGTGAATATGATAACCTGAGAAAATATGAATATATTTTGATGAAACTTGATCTGCAGCCTTATATTGATAAGATCTGAGTTGAGTTTGACAATGGGATCAAATTGACCTTCATTTACAGAGTTATAGCCCTTTGTAGTTTTATTGTCATGGACCTTGTGAACATGATAGCTTTAGAAAATCTGAATGGATTTTGATGAAACTTGATCTGCATGGGACCGTTTGATGGTAAATTACAGAGTTATGGCTCTTGGCAGTTCAAATTCAGTTGAGATTATGGAGGTAATCAGGTGCCCATTGGCCGCTTGGAATTGTTGAATTTGCACCATTCTACTCATTAGACAAAAAATGTTTTTAGTTTACTAGTACTGCCTGGTGATCATAATGTTTTTACAACTGAATAACTTACATACCAGGTGCTGAGTTTTAAAGACAACTCTTAATATATCATTGAAATAATTTCCTTGATATATTAAGTAACATTAACCAACTTCCGAAAAAAGGGAGGTGATATAAAGTTATTGCTTGTCAACCAGTCTGCCAGTTATGACTTTTCAAGGCAAAGTTACAACAGATTTCAGTGACTTGTAACTTTGCCCTAATGGGCTACACCTGGTATATTGGCTACCTATCTCAGGAAGCTGGCCTATGTTGAGAACACTCATCTGATGTCTTTTTATTGTAACTACTGAGTGACTTACTGCATACCTTGTGGTATCCATTTTCCAGTGATTTACTACCTAAGGACCCTACTTATAAATTGGATTGGCATTGGCTTTTCCCCCTTTAAGTTATTACTAAATACATTCTGACATTGTGTGTTATTCAGGTCTCTTTACAACCAACTGGTATCGGAAAATTCTCACGAGAAGTTTGATGAGAGAAGGATTACATTATTGAAGTCGCACATCATACAGCTGGAAAGACAGGTAGGGATGTTCAGTGTTAAAAGGAAATGATGTAGTTGAAAGTAAGAACATTTATGCTATGCATTGTAAACAGTAGGAAAAAATAAATCAGAAGACAGAAAAAAATTTGTATTTACTAACCCAATTTTTTGTAACAGTAAATATTTTAATGTTGTTGTAAGGTATTGCTGATGTCAGAGGCCCTCAGTTCGCGCAGCAGTGCATTGATGGAGGTGGAAAACGCTCTTACTTGGCTGGCAGACAAATGCAGGTAATTCTTGATAGTTGTCAAATACAGGTAATGTCTGAGAGCTAGTATTTGATATTTGGCTGGCTGACAAATATAGGTAATTCCTGATAGCTGTTGCTTGTTATGACGCTGGCTGGAAGATAAGGTAATGCCTGATAGGTATTGTTTGATATTAAGCTGGTTTAAAAATACAGGTCATGCCTGATGGCTAATATTTGATGTTCATGGTTTTAGTTTTTTCTATTAATGATTATTTATACATTATATATATCATTTAAGTCTACTCAAGTCTAGTATTGTTTGTACCAGGAATTAATAGTTTATTTTTATGTGTTATTTTCTGTGTAGATATATCAAAATAGGACTTCATGTTGACGACATGTCTTGATAAATATTTTGTAAAAGTCACAAACATTGTTTCAATTAACCAGGACATTGTGCTTAATTTAGCTACTGTTATCTTGTCCATTTGCCAAATTTATCCTGTAAGAAGCCCATGTCTGGTAATAAGCCCACCCACATCTATTGCTGTTCTGTATCAGTAAAATGTTCATAAAAAATCTATATAACTGTTTTTTAATAAGTTCCCAGCCTTTTTGTCATAGTTTGTGTTAGTCCCTTTGATATACTGAAGGATATTTCTATGTCTGTACACACTTGTCCTTACAGATACTACATAGCCCTTGAGGTCCCAGGAGCAACAGTTGGTGTTCCCCGTTCAGACCTCACACAGATGGTCCACACTGCTGAGTCAAGTAGAATTAAACTGTTCAAGAACATAGAGGTAGAGTTGTAAAATAGACCACACAGAGTAGGTACAGAGGTAGAATTGTAAAGTAGACCACACAGAGTAGGTACAAAAGTAGAGTTGTAAAGTAGACCACACAGAGTAGGTACAGAGGTACAGTTGTAAAGTAGACCACACAGAGTAGGTACAGTGGTAGAATTGTAAAGTAGACCACACAGAGTAGGTACAGAGCTACAGGTGTGAAGTAGACCACACAGAGTAGGTACAGAGGTAGAGTTGTGAAGTAGACCACAGATAGAAGGTACAGAGGTAGAGTTGTGAAGTAAACCACACAGAGTAGGTACAGAGGTAGAATTGTAAAGTAGACCACACAAAGTAGGTACAGAGCTACAGTTGTGAAGTAGACCACACAGAGTAGGTACAGAGGTAGAGTTGTAAAGTAGACCACACATGTAAAGTAGACCACACAGAGTAGGTACAGAAGTAGACTACACAGAGTAGGTACAGAGGTAGAATTGTAAAGTAGACCAAACAGAGTAGGTACAAAAGTAGAGTTGTAAAGTAGACCACACAGAGTAGGTACAGTGGTAGAATTGTAAAGTAGACCACACAGAGTAGGTACAGAGCTACAGGTGTGAAGTAGACCACACAGAGTGGGTACAGAGGTAGAGTTGTGAAGTAGACCACAGATAGAAGGTACAGAGGTAGAGTTGTAAAGTAGACCACACAGAGTAGGTACAGATGTAGAGATGTAACGTAGACCACACTGAGTAGGTACAGAGCTACAGTTGTGAAGTAGACCACACAGAGTAGGTACAGAGGTAGAGTTGTAAAGTAGACCACACAGAGTAGGTACAGAGCTACAGTTGTGAAGTAGACCACACAGAGTAGGTACAGAGGTAGAGTTGTAAAGTAGACCAAACAGAGTAGGTACAGAGGTAGAATTGTAAAGTAGACCACACAGAGTAGGTACAGAGGTAGAATTGTAAAGTAGACCACACGGAGTAGGTACAAAAGTAGAGTTGTAAAGTAGACCACACAGAGTAGGTACAGAGGTAGAGTTATAAAGTAGACCACACAGAGTAGGTACAGAGCTACAGGTGTGAAGTAGACCACACAGAGTAGGTACAGAGGTAGAGTTGTAAAGTAGACCACACATAGTACGTACAGAGGTAGAGTTGTGAAGTAGACCACACGGAGTAGGTACAGAGGTAGAGTTGTAAAGTAGACCACACAGAGTAGGTACAGAGGTAGAATTGTAAAGTAGACCACACAAAGTAGGTACAGAGGTTGAGTTGTAAAGTAGACCACACAGAGTAGGTACAGAGGTAGAGTTGTAAAGTAGACCACACATGTAAAGTAGACCACACAGAGTAGGTACAGAAGTAGACTACACAGAGTAGGTACAGAGGTAGAATTGTAAAGTAGACCACACATAGTACGTACAGAGGTAGAGTTGTGAAGTAGACCACACAGAGTAGGTACAGAGGTACAATTGTAAAGTAGACCACAGATAGAAGGTACAGAGATAGAGTTGTAAAGTAGACCACACACAGAAGGCGTACACAGCCAAGTTAATTTGTGTCAACTTATTCATTCAATAACACTTTAAAATTTAAAAAAAACTTCAACTGACTTTCAATATTTATCCCTGTTTCTATGTAAACACAATGAATTATTGAATGGCTAACTTATCTTTACAGAACTGTTCCACACAGACACAAGGCCAGGCTCTAATGTTTATGAATACCTTCATCAAACCTGATTCCTTCCAGCAGTGTACCATGTTAGATATAGCCTCTGGAAAACTGGACTATCTCAACTTAAAACATGTGGTATGGTTCGCTTATGGCATTCATCATATTTTAATGTCATCAAGGAAATGTTTTGTATGACATTTTGAAAAACCTTATGATGATATTTTTAGTTTAGTGTTTAAGAATCGTTATAAGAAACGGGACGATGTAGTGAAAAAAGAATCTACCTTACAATATTTTTTACAGTGTTTGAAGTAAAGAAAAAAATAAAAACTCTTCTATTTAAACCATAGTGCCATATGTATGAATGAATGTCACTGCATTTACTAGGCAAAGCTGGAGAGTAAGTTATCATCACTGTACAAGGATCTAACTCAACTTCATGATGTCCTTGAGAATCCACAAGACATACCTGTGATGACATCACCATGTGTAGCCAGTGTGATTCGTGACCGGGCATCCACACAGCTCCTGAGATCCTGTGCTCGTATCAAAGACTGCTGTGGGGACCTTTTGTCTGTCTCATTGCTCTTCCCCAGTGCACCCTGGGTAAGCATGACTTGTTCAGGTATAAGCTCACAAAGAGCTGTATACCTGTGCACTGAGTGCAATTACGAACATCATCTTAACTCATATCTAAGCATCTCTCTTATGCTTTGGTGTAACCTTAATGACGGCCAAATTTTGTTGATTCAAACTTGAAAAAAGTTGAGTTTTCCCAGTTTTTATTACTAAGATAAAAAGAGAAGTTTGTAAAAACTGACAAAGTAGTTTGAGTTAAGCAAGGTCTTTATCTGTTAACACTAACACGTGTGCATAAGTGTTGTAATATTTGTTGTTTATTTTATTCAATATTATATCATATATTATCCTTATAAAGCTACTTTTACTTTTAAATAAATTGTAAATTTTTTCATTAATATTCTAGTCTTTCAGTAACTTAGAAATTGACATGCATGTTGGTATATCAATGACCCAAATAGAATAATTTTTGTTTACTTCCAAAGGCTTTATGTCATACAAAATCTTGAAACTCATTCCATTTCCTTGATATTCTATACACAGTATGTTGTAGTTAAATTCTATGTTATTCTGGAAGAAACTTTTGAAAACTGGTATTTCTATGATCTTGGGCAATCTTATTAAATATTTTTCACACCAAAAACATGGTACTGTACATATATACAAATTTGTTGTTTACAAGCCCACTTATATGTTATCTTTCCACTTATTTCATGAATGCATAAAGCTCACAGGTGTATATTTTTCAATTTTAAATACAAGCTTTGCTGCATGTTCAGGTTCTCATTGATTCGCAAAACTGATTTCATTACAGCCTCCATTGAAAAAATCTGTGCTGAAAGATATCACCTGTGATAATGTAATGTCCAGTCTTCCTAGTCTACCAAAGTCAAAAGTACCTGAGGTCAAAAGAGTGATGACTGCTCTCCTTAAAGCTCAGAGTTACCATCATCACATGCTGTCCCAACAGGTAACTTTCCTCCCTAGAACAATAGATCATCACATGCTGTCCTAATAGGTAACTTTCCTCCCTAGAACAATAGATCATCACATGCTGTCCCAACAGGTAACATTCCTCCCTAGAACAATAGATCACACATGCTGTCCCAACAGGTAACATTCCTCCCTAGAACAATAGATCATCACATGCTGTCCCAACAGGTAACTTTCCTCCCTAGAACAATAGATCATCACATGCTGTCCCAACAGGTAACATTCCTTCCTAGGGCAATAGATCATCATCACATGCTGTCCCAACAGGTAACTTTCCTCCCTAGAACAATAGATCATCACATGCTGTCCCAACAGGTAACTTTCCTCCCTAGAACAATAGATCATCACATGCTGTCCCAACAAGTAACTTTCCTCCCTAGGACAATAGATCATCACTGTTAATGTGATTTCGAACAACATAACATATTATCAGTAATTCAGATGTACTATGTGTCAAACTTTCTGACATGTTTGAAGGATAGATCATCCCACTCTGTCCCAACAGGTAACTTTCCTCCCTAAAACAATAGATCATCCCACTCCGTCCCAACAGGTAACTATCCTCCCTAGAACAATAGATCATCCCACTCCATCCCAACAGGTAACTTTCCTCCCTGAAACAATAGATCATCCCACTCTGTCCCAACAGGTTACTTTCCTCCCTGAAACAATAGATCATCCCACTCTGTCCCAACAGGTTACTTTCCTCCCTAGAACAATAGATCGTCCCACTCTGTGCCATTCGGGAGTTTTACATTTACAATATTTTAGAGTAAATATAATCTGAATTAATGTTTTTCTTCTTATATGTGACTGACATAGAATCATATTTTGAATTGAAAAGTAATGTGTTATCCTTGGTATAATTATGTAGGTGTTTTTTTACTTGTAGATAAAAGGATTAAAAGAAGAAGTGAAATTCCATCAAGCTGTCTACAATCTTCAGATCTCTTATTCTGAAACACTCCTGGCAGCAGTAAGGTATGTACACTGTGGTGGAGCAGGTTTGATTGATATTTGTCTTACCTTACACAGGTATGTGGTGTGAGATTTCCTTGACTCACCCTAGGGTTGAGATGAGGGGATTCTCCTGTCAGGACAATGATATGATGTCACAGTAACAATTCACTGACGTCAGGTCAACAATGAAATCATGTCAACGATGTGAAGCATTGGGACAACAAAAACACATATAAATTCCTTATAAAGCCTGCATGGTAAGAGAAAAATAATCATTCATCCCCTTATTGTGAGGTAGGGTGATATCAACCCTCGGGGAAAAGATGATAAGTTCGAACACTCAGCATGCCTCGTGTTTGTTAAAGCAAACATTTTCCCACTCAGGTTGAGATCCACTTATCAGATCTTAAGGGGGTGACCAATCAACCTTCCCTTCCAATATATGCTTTGATTTATATCTGATTTGTCATATATTTACACTTTCGGGTATTTAATATAAATTTCCCCTAAACGTAATTTACCCCATTTACAGTGTTACATGAAGAGAAGATAAAAAAAATTTGGAAGTTCATAATAATGATGCATATTGAACGATTTTCTGAATTATTTCATACTTTTCCATGTCTAAAATAAACTGTGTCCTTCAGAGTCACAGTTTCTGCAGCTCTAGACTGATAGGAATACAGATGAAAATTCTCTTTTCTAAATGATGTTGTAATAAAATCAGTTCTGATGTACAGTTGTTTAATAAGCAAAAACAAAACAATAACAGGAACTGAGACAGCAACTTAATACAAAGAGGGATGTTACAAAGTGTTAGAAAATTTTCCAAATATGATACATGTTGTCTTAATTGTAGGGAATGTTATAGGGAATATTAGATTTTTCAATATTGATGTGAAAGCTGTTTTTGTTACAGGGAAGGTTACAAAGAGTTTGAAAAATCTACCAATGAGTTTCTCATCATGCCATTACGTGGTGAGTTTAACATTAGTGTTTCAAAAAAATTTTCTTTTAATGTGCTATAAAATTTATTTATATTGAATTTTATTATAAAACTGAAAATTTGATTGTGAAAATAGACCAAAGATAATACTAGTATCTAATTGACTACCTGGTGTCCATAGATCAATAATACAATACCTCATAGTAGAAAAAATACCTTTGTATTCAGAGAATCCTCCTGTTAATATGAGCTGGATTTTGTTGCAGATATTTTGGAAGCTTATTTAACAATGAAAACTTCAAGCAGTGATAATGGTCTAAGGCAGTTCCTGACCTGCTTTAAAAACAGCGAAGAGCAGGTAAGTTGTAATTTTGAGAATTTCAGAGACAGAAAAGCATGGTTTTGATGATAGCTTTCCCAGGCATTCAGCTTTTACCTGATGAGTATTGTAGAGAATTAAATTAGAATAAAAAGGATCCATGTTCTGGTTTACATACCACTATCAAAAGAGCCAGTTAAGACACAATCAAAATAGTCGATATAAGACATTATAAAAATAGGCTATGTAAGACACTTTCAAATGATCAGTTTAAGACACTATCAAATTAGTCTATCTAAGACACTTTCAAATTATCAGTGTAAGACACTATAAAATTAATCAATATAAGATGCTGTCAAAGTAGTCAATGTAAGACACTCCCAAAATACATGTTAATTAGTGTAAAATCACAATAGTTAAGGCACTATCTGTTGCTTTTTAAATTGTCCATTTCTAAAGAAGCTGTCAATTATACTTCCTGATGTGTATTGGATGTAGTGCAACATATCGCCAGAAGCAGAATTTATCCATTTCTGTTTACTGATGTAAAATTTCTGACCTGGTAATATCAGTTAGTTTCAACAAACAACAAGTTTTGTACAAATATTTTGATTGTTTTAATTTGATGTTTAACTTTGTATCTTCGAGATTTGTTGCCTGATAATTTGTTCTTTTAATCTGCTCAATTGCAGCTTATGGATGCTATCATGAAACTGTCAACAAAGGGAAAACCTGAAACTGGTCAGTAAATAATCACCTTCATACTGGGGTCATCAGTCTCCTGTCCTTGTGTGTCCTTTATCTATCAGAGACATGCAGAAGTAGGACATTTACCTATTACTACAGGCCCCACTTGTATAAAACATCTCAACTTGAGATTTCCTCAAGCCCAGATTTTCCTCAGCTGATATCTCCTCAAAAACGGCTTGTATAAAATTTTCTCAAAGACAGGAGGAAGTCATCGGCTAGGATGTCCTGAAATTCCTTGAGGAATTTTCATACAAGATATTTTCAAGGAGATATTAGCTGAGGAAAATCTGGGCTTGAGGAAATCTCAAGTTGAGATGTTTTATACAAGTGGGGCCAGGTCTTTTGTTTAATGATCGGACCACCTACATATATATATTTTTAAGGAACAATTTACCTGTTATCTGTTGATGAATATGAATATCAAATATAAATGGTGACATTTGTATAAGCGTACCGTACATCACATAGATTTTGTGAATACATGTGCTTTATTTTGCCAACTTACCTCTTCAGACATATTTGTGAATACATTATTTTGCAAACAATGATCTTTGATTTTGTGAATGATAAGACTGTTAGAAACATGGACTCTTCAAAACTCAGATATCAGTAACTGTGTCAACATGTATGCCATCCAAACTTATTTTTCGTTCAAGTAATCACCTGGGATTATCTCACATAGTAATGCAAAAATAAATCCCACTTAAACTACGAGTGATTTACGGTATGAGTTGATGTCCCTGACCTTGAAATGGTGAGATACATATGTTTGGTTATATTTGTCCATCCATTGGGAAATGTCATTGGCCTATTTCTACTGATTGTTATTTCCCCTCAGTTGTTGCTGTACAAAAATCCTTAGTTCCATGGTACTAAAGTCAAGGTCATATGGTTAATATCTAGGTCACCATTACTGTTAATAAAATTGAACCTAAAATGACACAGTCCTTTCTTTAACAAATGTAAGTTCACAAAAAGTACATGTGTCATCAATTCTGTGATTATCATCATATTTATATCTACACTCCTATTCTGTTACCTCAAGGATGGCAGATATAGATATGATGCTCAAGGGGAATTCATATTGTTAGTGTACATTGTTAAGTTTTCACTGAAAGGTATTATTTGATGAGAAAATTTAACTACTGAGCTTGAATTTCTCATTTTACAATTTCTTTAAGCTGTATATATCATATTGATAATTTACTGTCATAACTGAGAGAATGATTTATAGTTCACAGTGTTCCAGTATCAGATGAATTATATCCCCACTTAGGTAGTGGGCTTGTAAGAGGTACAAATATATGGTAATAACAATTTCTTTAAGCTGTATATATCATATTGATAATTTACTGTCATAACTGAGAGAATGATTTATAGTTCACAGTGTTCCAGTATCAGATGAATTATATCCCCACTTAGGTAGTGGGCTTGTAAGAGGTACAAATATATGGTAATTACTTAAGTCCTCCATGTGTCAGTTTATACCTGTGATATCTTGTGAGTCCTTGAGCAAAGTTAGTTCATAATCACAGCCTATTGCATCACATAAAGTTCTACACCTTGTAAGATTTTGGTTAACATTGGTGAAGTGTAAAGGTCAAAGATCACACTCAGCTATACGTTTGGGATTAATGTAAGTGTACAAGATATCTCGTGAACCTGTTTACAGATTTAGCTCATGCTTCAACCAGAGCATCACACTTGAATGTATACATTTGATGCACATTGGTCAAGGTTGAAGGGTTAAGGGTTACAATTGATCCATTTTGAAATGAAGAGTCTATGTTCAAGACCAGTCATTTTTCCCTATCCCATCAACAGCATTAGCATTAAAAAGTCTTGAAAATCAGGCAATGGTATATTTATATGACCCCTGCAGGACTGAACAAATACTATGATATCCTCCAGAAGTAAAACATCTTCCTGTTCTTGCATAGATATTGTCAGCATTATTTCTCGATCATGTTTTATCCTTCTTTCATTTTCAAATATCTCTTGCACAATTAATTAGGACTCAGGAAGAAGGAAAAATAAGTGCTCATTAAAATTAAGATACTTTATATGAAAGAAACATGACAGTGTGACATTTTGTACTAGGAAGTGGAGTGGAGGTTCTGTCTCAGTTTGGAGTGGAATTCACCAAATCTCTGGATAAGGCTGTGAAACAAAGTCAGTGGCGGAGAGATAAGGCAGGGCGTGAAAGAGCAGAACTAAAGGAGGAGCAACAGAAACTAGAGGCTGAGTTACGTGGTCTCCTGGACAAAGAGGAAGGTTCATATCAGGATATGTTCCCTCCCAGTGACGACACACTAGCTACAAGAGACAGTAGCACATTCGCAGGTAAATGTATGGCATACCCACATAGGTAATTGTATGTAACACTCTCAGAGTAAACTGTATGTAATACATTCACAGGTAAATGTATGGAACACCCACATAGGTAATTGTACATAACACTCTCAGAGTAAACTGTATGTAATACATTCACAGGTAAGTATGTATATACATAACTCCCACACAGGCAAATTTATGTATCACTAACACAGGTCAATGTAAGAAACACCCTCAGTACTTTTAGTGCTCAGAACTTGTTCATTGTTTAAAATTACTATTCAGTAAGAAGGACCTGCTGCCTATTCCTGATGTATTCAATGAACAACAGAGGTGATTCAAAAATTCAGATGATACCTATTATAAATTTACAGGAAATATAGAAAGGGAAGTCAAAAATAGAGAGTCAGTTGTGGAACCTAACCTTGACAATAGATTCTCATCACAAGAGAGTGGCCAATCCAAGGATCCATTAGACCACTGCACAGAGGAGGTGTCAGGTTTAAGCTTAGAAGACTCGTCATTGGCACAAACAACAGTATCTCACCGTAACAACAGTCCCTCCAGCAGTCGGCAAAAAGAAATTAAACCTCCCCGTACTAGTGGTAATAACCAGACAGACAGAAAACAAAGGAGTATGAGTCGCTTGGGAAATTTGCATAAACCAGCTAGCCCTTTAGAGGAGAAACAAAAGGATACTTCTCGACATGAGGGAATACAACGTACAGATATTAGTTCTGCAGGGAAGAACACTGAAGGTCAGCTAGGCAATGTAACGGGTATTCCACCTAAAGTCAAAACAACTGGCAAAAATAAGAAGGACCAGAAATATCTCCCAAACACATTTGTGCCAAACAGAACACTTCAGTTGAGGAGGGCTGGGAGTCTTAGTTCGCTCAGTGACAAAGACACAGGATCGGACACAGAATCTGTTAGTAGTCAAACTTCAAGGGGGACAACTCCAGGTAAAGCTCGCAAATCAACGATCCCACGGAGGTCAACAAGTAGGTCAGGTCACAGCTGACCTCAAAAGTCCTTAGCATTATAGTGTTACATGTAAAAGTATAAATTGGGATGTCTATTTTGTACAATTTAGTACCAACTGAATGTTTTAGATGGCCTTTACTTTTAAAATGGAACCATGATTTACTCTGTTCACAATATTTCATCTTCTTATCCTAAAAAGTAAAATCAAGCATTTGTCTCCCTTTTTCCTCAACCCCCCCCCCCCCCCTCCCCCTTCAATATGAGAGCTATCCCAGATATCAATAGAGAGGGGATTGGGAGCCAATATTAACATGATGGTTATACATGTACATGTATACACTGGTAATTACTGATTCTTGAAAAAAAAAAAGAAGAAATTTCATCACAGACAATTGGGATCTCAAAAACTTTATCCCAGCACTTCACTCCAGCTGAATGACTAGAATCACTCAAACATTTTCATTAAATAATCTACATTGATAATAAGAATGACAGAATAATATTCATTTTTCTGTGTCTTTGCCAACAAACTCTAAGGCCCAAAATACTTTTTTTATCCGCTTGTTGTAATTTGATTGCCAGATCTGAAACTTTTAAATACGTATTACAATGTACTTATATGTTACTTTAAATAGCAGTTGATCGTTGTGATTTTTTCGTTGCTTTGTTCTTATTTTTCCATTGTTAATTTATTATCATTTTTTTTCTATTTAAAATTGAAGTTCGTAATATCTGATAGAAAAACAGTTAAGGACAGATACGATACCCTATGGTTTACTTATTTTTTAAAAAATCGTGAATGCAGTCTAGCTGATTAGTTGATTGTATATTAATCAAGTTATGACAAAACTGTAGTTTGGCTTTTTATTTGATAAAAATGTACCCATGGTATTTTTGTCAATTCATATTGGTTGATGTAACTTCAGTAATGATGCTAAGTTGTTGACATTCCATATGGAGAAGATTCTTTAGGTTTCTTTGTCAGTACCCAGAACAAAGTGTACCCATATATGTACTAAAGAATAAGTAAATGTATAGACAAAACTGGAGAATTTTCCATGAAACTAAATAACTGTTGCTTACTTGGTCGGTATTTTTCTCTTTGATGTCTGGAATTACTTGAATACTGTGACTGATTGAACATGAATTATATTTCAAAAATCATTCTGGATACTCCAGGGGTTACACAAACTATCACTCTCTGTACCCCTGGAACCATCCTCCATACCCCAGGGGTTACGCCAATCATCGCTTTCTCCACTCCTAGAAACGTTATCTGGCAAAATTGAAGGCAACTGAAGTAATTTGATTGGTCTAGAGCAGGTTTCAGGAGAAAAGAACAAACCAATCATGGTGTGACTGGTAAAGTACTAGCCACAATATACTGCTTGGCCAGTGAGAACTACTCCTAAGCTTGATTGGTTGAGTGTCAGACTTGTAAGGTAGGGGTACCAAGTTCAAGCCCTAGTGGAGGCATTAAAATAACACAATGAACACAGTTACATTGATGCCCATATAGGGACTCAGAAATAATACTTAGTGTTGTCCAACAGACATCACTGTAATCCATTAAAACTCAAGGACAAGTTCTTTCCCAGAAGGGGAGTATGTAACCCTGGTAAAAATACTAGCCACAGCATACTGTTTGGCTAGTTAGAACTTCCCTCTAGCTCAGTAAGCTTCAAAGCTAATACATAAGTTTATTTTAAGGTTATAAGTTTATTATAAGTTGACCTGAGATTCATTTCATGTATATCGAAGGATCAAACTAGGCTTCTCGTGTGGCACATGTAACTTTTGATGTTGCCATGAAATGTTCTAGGGGTGCTGAGTAACAGTGAGCATAACTCCTGGAGTATGAGGATTGATTTCTCTATAATTTTGCTGTAACCGATTGCAAATCATCCTGTTTAGTTCTATGGTGTCAACCAACTATATGTGTTTGTCTTACTCTTGCAAACTATCATAGATAAACAACTAATTTTGCTTCCTGTTCATACTATCAAAAAGTGAAGCTAGACCAGCTGATATCTAGTAATTAGCAGTATCACTAGGAATAACATGTTTCAAAATCATTTTCATACGGGTATATAGGCAAATACCAAATGATTTCACCATAAGATGTGTTCTATATATATCAAAATTTGTGAAATACAAAATATTTTTTTACCTGATTTTCATTCCTTAAAAAATAAATTTAATTAATGTACTATGAATGTATGTTGTCCGATTTGTTTTTTCACATCTCTGGTTAACTTTCTGTTGGTGTAAGGAAAATCATAGTCCATACTGGATTGATCAAGAAAATGGAATCTGACTGACGGCCAGCCAGGATTTTGACAAAGGACGGATATTTCTCTAGTTTCCTATGCAAGTTCCCCCTTGGTCCTTAGGTGAACATCTATGTGCCCTTCTGATTTTGTTATTGATTAGAAAAACAAACTGGTCGATAACAACAAAAGACTATACTGGATTTGGTAGTTAGATTGTAAAATTATGTTAAAAAAAAATAATGGAAAAAATCAGACTTTCAAAGATCAAACAATGATGGGCGTCAAGATTCCTCTGGGATCTCTATGTGTATAGACTAGTTAAATACTTTACATTCAATGTATCTCTGAGCTGCATTCATCCCCCAAAAATATCTGAAAAACTGAAATTTAAAAATCTTTAGTTTTATTCATTTACCCATGCACTATCATTCAGTTGGTACCAACGGTTCTAAGGATAAGCGAAAAAAAAAGTCACTGTTCAACGAAGACATATTATACCAGCTTATCGTTGAAGGGTTGATCCAATTAATGCCCCGACACTGCTGATCTGAATACTTCAGCAATCTTTTTTAACATATCCGCAAATGCGCTGCTCAAGTCATACCCGTATCTGCCAACATTCCCGATTCTGTCGGGAGTTTCCCCGATTTCCATTCCCAAGCCCCGCCTCCCGATAGTATGGATCAAAATTGGGAGAATCTCCCGATTTCAGAGATCCCGCTGTGTGAGCCATAAGCAACTTTGCTGTATTTGTCAAATTGGTAAGTTTGACCACCCGACAAGGCCTAGCTAGGCGACTACACAGCCAAATTATCTAATGAGTTTCGCCCAATTCAAGCTAACCCTAGCTAATCGCTACGCGTAGGAGCACACTTGTACATAGTCGATTGTTCCCTACCTAATTAACAGTTTACTATTGGTTAGGATTCAGGACTGGACTCAGATAAATGGTCGGTTAAGATGAGGTCGTTATACAGATAATTAAGTAGTTATCGCCATGTTTATACTACCTTTTCGGTTAAATAACAAATTAAGCAAGAAAATGGTTTGAAAAACGATTTTTATTATGTAACATTGTGCGAGCGTTCCTCAATAAATATCTATAATTTAACCATGTCAGTACTTAAAAGAACTAATTAATTGGCATCATGTGTAAATAATCACATCAAAAATAGTTCACTCACTGTACAGCTGACTAAACTTTCAAGCATGTTTGGTAGTCCGTACGAGATTAGTGGGTAAACTGGAAGTAGCTACACTTATGCAAAATAGGAATTGATCCGGACAAAAATTCCGGATTGGTATCTGTCTACAGTTCTTTTCTAAATATAATTATTTATTATATCTCACAGGAAATACAAAAATTCAAATATCATGGACAATTCGATATATATTAAAACAATTTGAACTTTATGGAAGAATTTGGGCTGGTCGGGTGAGAATTCAATTGAAGAGAAAAAAATGACTCAACGGACTTCAGGATAGACGTATATATCACGTCACTGGTAAAACCAATTGAAAACAATATATATGGGGAAAATACAATATTGTGTGTTCTGCCTATTTAATGATAGAGGTAACTGGCACAAAACATCAACAATTTGCAATTCATTCGGGATCCCATGCATACGAAGATGGCCCTTGACATGACAGCATAAAACGACATATTAAAGTTACAAAACTATCGTGCACATAGTTTAAGACGAAATTGACATAATAATAAATGATAATAATAATAATAAAGTTTTATTTATTGTCGGTATTAAAAACAATACAAACATTAGCTCTTTTGAGCTATTTCATCCGACACATGCATACAGTTACACATTAAATACACAATGACATAATAGATAAGATATAAGTTTAGAACTACTCGGATAAAAAAGTTTAATATTTAGCAGGTGATATATTAAAATATAGTATTGTTAAAATGTGTCTAATTATATAGGTGTTCTATGTGTGTCTGTAATCATGTGTGCATGTGTTGCATTTACATTTTGGCCCATACCAGCTGTTAATTAGTGTCTTAAATTGTGTAAGTGTGGTTGTTGTTCTGAAGTGGTCTGGTAGGGTGTTCCAAATTTAAGGTGCTTCTGATCTAAATGAGTGTTTGCCGTATTTTGTGGTCCTAACCTGTGGTATTTCCGCTGTATTATGGTATCTAAATGTATATGATTTTTCTGTTATGTTTATGAGGTCATGCAGATATGTTGGTGTTTGATTGTTGCTAATTTTGAAAACTTCTATTGCAAAATTTCGAAGGCGCCTAATTTTGAGAGAGGGTAATTTTGAACGGGCTAATAAATTTTCGTATGTATTTTCGTGGTCGTCATAGATGAATTTCAGAGCCCTTTCTTGATTTTTTCCCATTTTTCGTGTATTAGTTTCACCACAGAAGATGAATATAAGCCATAAGTATCAGTGACCGTTATAACTAAATATATTTTTATTCCGACAAGTTTTAATGTATAAACATATACAAGAGGTTACCATAAAAGAACACGGTCTATTTAAGTCTCCTTGGTGAAAATATATGATGAACACCTTTAGTGTCGGGGTCCGGATAACGCGGGCTATGTATGTTAGTGCATGAGGGGAGCAGCTAGATGGGAAATGTATGGTACATACGCCAAACAGGTTAATAGATTTAAGACAATGTCCTTGCACGAGTCTTATTCAAAGTCTCGGTATATAATGTATCTAAATCCGTTGTGTCAGGCGACATATTCACAAAAGTTACGATCATAAAGTGAATGTAATTAAACGTCGCCTCTATTACTATGAACAAGCTACTCACGAGACGCTTTAACTCATTTCCAATTCTCAGTTACAATGAGATATAACTATATTGGCATCCTACCACGGAGTTCGAATACAGTAATTCTATTTTAAGTCCGTGATCCAACCAATGTTGACTTAGGAGACAATTTACGCCGGCTACCGTCTCAGAATTATTTCAACCTGATGAACCTGAAGAGAATTATGAAAACGTGACGGGTTGTATATCTAATGTTAATTTTATCGATAATGTACATTATTCGTGTAGAGAATAAATAGGAAATGCTATGTTTTTTCTAAGCATACAACATGTGGAAAAGAAAAATATACATTTCATTTGAGCGTTAAACCTGTTCGGATTATCTTAACGTAAAACATTTTTGTGACACAGACTTAGTGACGTCACTCCGAAGTTCGCAACGAGACATGGCGGAAGCTGCTGTAGAAAACAGACCGACTTTAAACAGATTTTACTGTCATAGCTGCTCACAAGAAATAAGTCCAAAACCAGTGAGATAACGTTTTATATGATACTCTTTTGTACTTAATCGAAATAGATGTAAATTACATGACCATATGAGCACAGCTTAAGCAGTTAATTTTGAGATGGGCAGCTGAAATGCTAAATATAGATTTTGTCTAACTGGAAAGAGTATGGTATATTAGGCTACTAGATAGTATATACGCAATAGTATATCGTTATTTGAAATGATTCACGTTACTTCAATCATACATGCATACCACCGAAAGACACCATAAAATATTTTTTTTATCTATGTTACCAATATATTTGAAATTCGATGGAAAAAGTAAAATCGGACTACTAAAGCTAACATTTCTGTAGAATGCTGAAAAATATACTTTCTGTGTCGTTGGGAGTGCATATCCTTGGAATTTAGAAATATGTATGCTTCTTTCTTTAGGACTATACCTGCCCCAGATGTGATAATGGTTTCATAGAAGAAATTACAGAGTAAGTTTGAGATACCAGTATATCAGTGTTGTGTTTTGTATATATGTATTAAAAACAAGTTTTTTTTAAAAGTTTTGTTAAATTCATTGTAAAAATATTGAAGTACTTGCTTGAAGTATGTTTACCCATTGTTCCAATTGTCCCACAGGCTAATTTCAGTGCTAATAATTTGGTATGCTGAATGAAAAACTGACATGATGTTAATTATTTTCGATGCCAAGTGACAAAATTCTGTTTAAACTTTGAACAGTATCCATCAATATATACTCGAAAAAAATTGTCCAGGCCTATTTGTTGTCCTCGTGGTTAACTATTTGCCTTTACCCTGTGCTGAATTTGCATTTAAAGCACACTGACCCTCTGACCTAAATTTTCATATTTGCCCTGACGACAAAATTGACAAAAGGTAAACTACGGCTTGAGTTTCCCTGTATTAAAATTTGCCTTTTAAAAAAGAAGACATTGATATTTAGACTAGCACACTTTTATTCATTAGTATGTTTTCTTAAGTGGTACTTATATGACATATCTAATCTTGTCCATTGTCAGCCTGAAAGGCTGTGTATGACAATGATTCTTTACGCTGTTTACATTTTTTTGTTTGGTTTTGATTGGTAGTAAGAAATCCTCTTTAAATTAACGCAAAGTTTTGTTTATGTACCAGGTTTCATTTAATACATAGGAGGCACATTTAATTCACAAGAGAGGGATTGTTAAGAATCAGTATATTGGATGGCATTGTGAATATACCCAACTTGATTCCAATTTTGATACAATTTTATACCTGGTTTTCAACTTTGGTGTACATGGGATGGAACTGCCTCTCAAAAGTAACCTAAATGTTACACAAAAAGTTCTTAACTGGCTGTAGTCAAAGAAAAATCTGTTTGCAATTTTAAATAACCAGCAGAATGTACTTAGTACTTTAAAGTCATTCACATTTTAAGTTCTATTTGTGAAAGAAAGCATTTTCTGTAGAGGGTTTCAGGAGACAGATGAACAACCTCCAACAGAGCCAACAGTTGACCCAGCCGCTCAGTTTGCAGAGGTATGTACAATAAAATGAATTGGGCATATCAGTGAAGTGTTTGCCTCTGGCCATCACTAAGTCATTATTTGGCATCTACTCATTTTCACAATGACAGATAGAAATATTGAAATTGTAGACTTTCTGTTTAGGTCTGTGTGTTCACATACATTTACGTGTAAATTTCAAGTCTTTTATGAAAAAGACCTGTTCTGTACAAAAGTAGTTCTAGTGTTATATACATTTAACAGTATAAAACTATACAGATAACACAATTGTATCTGATTGTATCTGACTTTATATTAATGAAAAAACCAAATTTGAATAACATTGAGAATTTCATGTCCATTGGTCCATTGTTATTTGTCATTCTTTACTGATATTCTTGAATGACTTCTTTTTGCATGACATTGGTGAGTGTTGGGAGCTAATTCTGTTAAAAGGTTTTGGCCAGATTTTTATATACTCTATTTCAGTCTAAAGTAATTCAAGATCTGATATGTACAACAGCTTGTCCCACTTGTATATACACACACACCATCACCTACAAACACACACACAGTATGTGCATTTACCACAGATATTGTTATGATATATATATATATATATAAACACTAAATATAAATCAATCAATTAGTTGATACTGCCCCTGAGATAACTATTAATTATTCATTAACAATTCTTTCTTGTTCTCTGAAAAGTTCATGTGCCTGTGAAAATTTCAAAATTCGAACTTAAGTATGCTAATGCTAACTAACATTATCGTTTCACAGTCAAAACACTAATAGACAATTGTATTTTGAAAAAAATGTTCAGAAAATTCAGCTCTAAAAAATAATTAAGGCATTTAGTTTATATGCTATTACTACTGAATTGTCACTCGGATTAGTATTTATATCAATAAGTCATGGGTCTGGGCTTAATTTTCTTGTTTACATTATGATTGCAGACACATGTACAGTACAAATCTTGTTAAATACCTATGTTACAAAACAGTTTTTACCTCCAGAACTGATGAGCTGAAATCATAAAATATCTTTAATGTAGTACCTGCATAATCATATTTTGTGTGATATTAAAACAATATTTCATAGAAATACCTAGACTTTTAAAGTTCATTCTGTAACAGCTTGTACCACATTACTGATAACCTCATTTAATTACATGCTCATGCGTTACAAGTACTTTCAATGCCTAAAAAAATAGGTATCAGGGCATATTTGAATGGTATCCCATTGGTGGTAGTGTTATTTGGGTTATGATGTAACAGAATTTAATAAAAAAGGAAATCATTGTGAAAACCCTTTAACTGCAGGTGTATATAAAACAGTTAGAAAAGTAATTCCTTAAAGTGGATTTCATTAGACATGTATCCTTATCAAAGTTTTTTATAGAAATGTAAAATTTTTGTTGCAGCTATGGGGTAGAGCTTTTTTAGACAGCTTTCAGAATCAAGTTTCTGGGTCAACAGCTCCAACAAGGGAGCGGACAGAAGACTCTGATTCAGAAGAGGAAGAGAGGAACCATCCACAACCTCATGGACTTCGTCCATCTAGGATAAGACCATTCAGGATTTCTGTCAGAACAGGCAATCGACGTCCGGTAAATCGACAGCAGCAACATATACATGGGTGTGTAAACTATATATTTAATGAAGACTACTTTATAGTGTAGTGATTACAGTCCTGATCTTTAAAGCAGTAACTAGTTGTCAGAAAACAAAAAAATACATACAGTACACTTCATTTGTTGTTCTTCTGAAATACCTTAATTGTGCAGGATTTTAATTCTGTTAATTCCTTTTGCCCCTTTTGAACCTATTTATGTTGAGACGTTTTTGGAATACATGCTTTTATGCTGGTCATTTAATAGTTGGGATATCAGTATACTGATGATAGTATCTACAACATATATTAATTGATTAGTTATACTGATGATAGTATCTACAACATATATTGATTGATCAGGTTTATACATTAAAATAGTGAAGTGTATATTGATTATACGTGTGTGAATTACAAATACAGGGTAATATATATTTATAGCAGGTGTGTGGTTTACAGGTAAGATGATATCATATTTTCATTGTTTGTTACAGGTTACTACAAATGTTTGTAGATAGGTTAACAGGAGAAATGGGACAGCCAGTGTAAGTATCACTCTCATCACTTTATCAGGAATAACTCAAAAAAGTAATACAGATATTATCTTTGGCATTTGTAAAAACATTGATTCTGCATCAATTAACAAATATTATCAGGTTTTGTACATTATTTCATATTTTCAAACCAATTCTTTGATAGTATTTCTATTGATCAATAATCATGCAAGGCTGTACCATGATGTTTTCCTGGTCCATGTTTTATGAAAGTGGTTCATTTGAATTTATACTGTAATTAAACTGAAGACTGCTGAAAATCAGTCGTTATGATTGTAAATTACTAATCATTACTGTTGATTGATTGCAGCATGTTCTACTATGGTACATGTACCCTTAAATAGAATATTCCTATATAAATAATGATAATAATAATATATATCATAAAACGTTTTACATGTTTGTTATCTTAAGTGTCTTTTCTGAAACAGGCAGCCTCAAATGGTAGAACCTAGAAAAGTTCAATCTTTGATGTGAAGCTGATTGATAAGAAACATCATTTTGATATTGTTATATACATGTAATGTGTCTTAGTATTTAAAATGCTTTTTGTCTTTGAACAACAGTTCATGATTTTGACATAATTTCACTAGATATTTACCTTTTGTATCTGTATATGTGTAAAGTCTGGTGTTGGGTCCACAGAAAACATGGACCGCAATACTGATCTTTACATAAGAGTTATGACCTGAAAATATCTATTGTTGAACATATACATACATGTATATATTAGTGAAGGGTCTGTAATGTATCCACTTTGTCAGGAACTTCATGCCGATCCATGGTAACCCAGGTGACTACGCCTGGGGCGTTAGTGGATTAGATAACATTATAACTCAGGTAAGTCTGTCTCTGTTGTAATGACATGTCACTGTGCACTGTCTATTTGTCTAGCAAAGTTTTCACAATTTTTTTTACCTGGTCTTTAATATTTATGAATCAAATTGGATTAATCTGATATGTTAATGTACAGAGTAATACACAACAAATTGAATATGTTTAAATAATGGTTTTCTCATCAAATATAATATGTGGTCAGATTTGATTTTAACCTCGGAATAGTATCTCCCTATAATGATTAGTACTTATGGTTAGAGAAAAGGTAATTCAGTTTTGTCAATGGTTGGGATAAAGAGCCATCATTCCTTTACTGAATTTTTGGCTCAACTGATCAGTGATTTTTAAGCCTATATACATGGGGTTGGATTACATTCCCATTTCATTAGGCACCAATTCCTTTCCTATTTTGAAAAAAAGTGGGTATTTTTCCCAACTATGTTGATGGTTGAAATGCTTTGTGATCTTGATTGCCTTACACCAAGAACAAAATCAGCATCTGACCTCACAGGTTTGTGAAAAGTACCGTGTAAAAATTAATAAAATTTGACCACAAAATTTGATTTAGCATCATGCAATAGGTAACATAGTTCTGAACACCTTATATGTTTTGACCTCATACAATTGACAATTTTTCCCAATTTAGAGATGTTTCTGCAAAATGTTTAACAAAATTCATGTTTAACAATTTCGGAAAACACCAAGGAAAAACGCTGCTTACGTGAATTGGAAGTCAAGATTGAACTTTAAAAAAGAATGTCCCTAATTACATGTATAACTTGATTCTGTGTGGATCTTCTTTGAGTAAAGTATTGAAATAGAAACCAACCTCTGAATGAAGCAGTAAACCAGAAATAATCTCTGAATCAAGTACTAGACATATTGAAATGAAAGTCAGTCTCATTGTGGGATATTGAAATTAAAACCAATTTCTGAATCAAGTACTAGACATATTGAAATGAAAGTCAATCTCATTGTGGGATATTGAAATAAAAACCAATCTCTGAATCAAGCACTAGACATATTGAAATGAAAGTCAATCTCATTGTGGGATATTGAAATAAAAACCAATCTCTGAATCAAGTACTAGACATATTGAAATGAAAGTCAATCTCATTGTGGGATATTGAAATAAAAACCAATCTCTGAATCAAGTACTAGACATATTGAAATGAAAGTCAATCTCATTGTGGGATATTGAAATAAAAACCAATCTCTGAATCAAGTACTAGACATATTGAAATGAAAGTCAGTCTCATTGTGGGATATTGAAATAAAAACCAATCTCTGAATCCAACATTAATTAGTAATAAAAGTCAAGATATAATCATTGTTATGTTCCAAGCAGAAAGTTAATTAACTTGATTGATTGAAAGAATATCTACAGATGATTTTTATAAGGCAATTATTGATTAACCTAATAAAGATTTAGCTGAAAAGATTTGTCTGTTTCAAGACAATATTGTGTCTCCAGATGTAATTTTGTCTGAACATCAAACCCCTCTAAACTTGCTACCAATCTCTGATATTGTGCACTTAGCTTATGTTTTATCATTATGATTGATCATATTAACAAATTACCTGGTATTAGCAAATTTTTCTCAGCAAATACAAATTCATTTCAATTTTGCAACCTCAAATGTGACCACTGAGTTATACAGATTTTCAATTCTCCTGGTTCAAATAACATAAATCTAATGAGTGATGCAGGCCTGATAGGCCTCTTGTTATTTCTCAGTACAAAACTTATGAAAAAGATCAGTTATAGAATAACCAAATTGGCCTTTGTTTCTGTATGTAAGTTGTGATTCTCGTTACAGTTGCTGAACCAGCTTGAGGGTTCAGGACCTGCCCCTGCAGACAAAACTAAGATAGATTCCTTACCTACAGTAATGGTTTCACAGAAACAAGTGTGTAAGTGTTATCTAGTTTGTAGATGACAATGAATTTATTACTTCAAGTATATATATATATTATGGTTAGTTTGTAAATTTGGATTTCTACAATTTGTGATTTTTAGCTTACCTAGTCCTAAGGACCGGTGAGGTTATGCCATTCTGTAGTATCTGTCATCCGTCAACTTTTCTTACACATTACTACTAGACATAAACAACTAAACAGATTTTGACTAGAGGAGCTTGACTAAATTTGGTTAGAAGCATCCTTAGGGGAATGGGAACAAATTTTGTATAAACAATTGGACTCGGTCTTCTAGGGGCCTGAAGAGGCCCCAAAGGGGAAATTTTATTAGTTCTTTAACATCCTACTCTGCCTGTAGGGATTTCTGCCACCTGGGTCAGGAAATGGAACAAATTCTTTAAAGTTCTTCCTCTCCTGAAGGAATGATAGAATTTTGACTAAATTTGGTCTGAAGCATTCCTGAGTGAAGTGAAATGATTTTTTTTGCAATAGATTAGTCTTGTGTGTCTGATTTTACCTTTTCCAGAACTGCATTTAGAATTATTGATGTCTTTTTATCAAATATGATTATAAACTCCCCCAACTCGGGCTTTGTATTAATACTGATATTGTTTTGCTTTCTTGACAGCTGAGACTATACAGTGTTCTATTTGTATGGAAGATTTTAATTTAAATGAAGCAGTTAAAAGGCTACCTTGTGAACATCATTACCATAAGGACTGCATTGTACCCTGGTTGGAAATGGTAAGTCGATTGGGGATGCAAAAGTTTTCGAGGGATTTTCAAAACATTTTTCTCCTTTTCCTAACCAAACTTTCTAGATACTTGAACTAGCTTAAGCACATTTTACCACACAGATGTCAGAATTATGAATTGAAAATAAAGAACTTTCAAAATTTTCCATTTTATAGAAGTAATTTTTTCATGATCTTTTGCAGCATGGAACCTGTCCAGTATGTAGAAAGGACTTAAATGGTATTGACTCGTCTCTGAAGGATGATTATCCCAACCCTGTAGATATAATGGACACTGCCTCTGGAGGCCAAGACCAGGATTCTGTAACTAATGACGATGATGTTTAAGTGACACCCCTGTTAGATGTTTAATATGTGATAGCTATATTGTAGAAGGCTGCTATGCAATGCTAAAACTTGATTACTTTTACCAGGTACTCTAGCATTTATTTTGCAGGTCTTTTAAGTCAACAGTAAAAACTAAAATACATTTTGCAAACTTTTTTTATTGGATATTTATATTTCATTTAAATGCATCTTTATCTTCTGCAGAGCCCAAATATTCTCTTAAACACTGAAATGGAAATGTAGTTGACATTTTTTTCTTTTCATTGTTTAAAAGAAGACAAAAAGAAAAAGCCATTTGGAAAATCAAGTCTGCACATTTATTAAAAAAACACCTTTCACAAAAAGCAAATGGCATATGCCTTTATCAAAATAAAAAAATTCTATATCACATTCAACAAATCGCACATTTACTAAAATACATTTTGTATTTGGCGAAAAGTCTCCACACTTGGCAAACAGTATTTTGTATTTAGCATTGCGCATTGACCTTCTTTACCATAGGCATGCTGGGATAAGTGACAACTGTTTGTGGATGTCATTCCTGACTGGAACAGGTGCCAACATGTTTAAAAGGAGTCTGGACCATTCTTCAATCATAGAGTTGATGAATTTGTGTAATGCAGAGAATACATCAATTTTTAGATATGTGCCCATTGCTCCTAATACTTACTGGTACACAATGTCAACTTGAGGCAAAAATCAGGGGAAAAATACAAAAATAAAGGTAGAGACTTTCATGAAATTTTTCTCAGTCAAGCCATGAGCAACTGTTTTCATTGGCTTTGCATTAACTAGTATGTAGTAGTAGCAAAGCTAATCTAGGTTGCATGAATTTTTTTTTTTTTCATGATAACATTGAATTTTGCATCGTTTCAGACATTTTACAGAAAATTATGTGACTGTGAATTAAGTATCACCAGAAGTAGTATTTCTATATTTTCTACTAAATATGTCAAGAAAAAATAAAAAATTCAAGAAAATGGTTTTATTGGAGATAAAATGGTCAAGCAACTTGGAATGTAAATTGTAGAGCAAAGTTCTGAAACTCTCTACCTTTATGCCTCTCCATCAGTAGAAACTTTAATTGTTTATGTATCTAACATAAAAACATATTTAATTTAAACGGTAAATATCACAGTGTTAACCATTGTTGTTATCCTATTTTCTGTGTATATGTGCATGAAGACTAGCCTGCAATTTAGTGTGTGATGATTTAAAGGGCTAGTGTATAAGTGGGAAAGGAATAAATGGTGTCTCGTAAAAATGAAAAAAAAACCGTATGTATGTGGACATGCCAGTGATAGGTGTGATATTGATTTATAAAAAGCTGGCAGTTGATGTGATAGCAGTATTAAAGTGTGGTTTAAATTGAGAGATAATTTATAGTATAAGGTATATGGGTCAGTCCCAGATGTGGACAAGGTGAATACACTTGTTCATGTTTTAGTCAAGCTGCTGTTACATGTGGTATATATTTCTTTTTATTAGCTTGCCTATTGAAATATTACTTTTGATAGCAATCTCTTAATATACGATTTCATTTTTGGCATATTTATGAAATGATACGATATGTCTTACATATATTGAATGCTATCAGTTGTAAGCTGTAAATCAGTTTTTACTGGATTAATGAATTTTTTTACCTTTCTTGTGTATCAGCCATTTGTATGCCATTCTGATATTTATCTCATTTATTAAAGAAGCACAAAAGCCTTTTTCTGCTTTATCTCAAAAATTTTAATTAAACATACCAAATTTATAGCACATGTAGTGTGTAAGGGTTGGTGTGTGAATATGTGTGTAAAGTATGTAGTCTGACACATGACAGGTTGTTACTGTTGGTTAAAGTTCCCTCATTTGTTTTATTGTGATCAGCTGATTTTTTCTTTTGTCCCACCTTGTCACAAAAGGTAGGCTGATTAAATCACATTTTGTCCATGGTCCATCGTCTGTAAACAATTCTTGCCTATCACAACTCCTCTGAAAGTCCTTAGGATCTTCTCCAGATTGTCAATACACATGTCCCTTGGTCCCTGGTTGGTCCCAACAGATTTTCAGGTTGATGAGATTTTTATTATCTTGGAAAATTTTCATGGAGCATAAAGTCACTGCCTTGTCAAGATTTTCGTCAGTGGCCATATTGGCTTATTGCTACTTTTCAAATGCTAATGGCATCAATTTTGTTTTTGCTGTGTAAGTTGTGTCCAATTTCTTGATAGCATATCATTTCATGAATGATCATGTCAGTGGGTACATCCTGGGAAGTCTTAAGCTTAATCAGTAGAAAAGTAGGCCATTTTGATCTAAATTTTGACTTTTGACACAGTTCATAGAAAAGCCTTGTTTCTAATTATGTCTCCTACCCTGTTTCAAATGGAATCACCAAACCAGAGGGACAATTTCGGCAAGAGGAGAGTCACACTTTGCAAATTTTACAACCAGGATGTCGGGTGGCCCATACAAGACTAAAGCTCCTCACTAGATAATCACACCTTTCCCTCTCAATGTGGGTGCCAACATACCTCTAGGATCTCATGTGTTTGTTTGGTTATTCTTTCTTTTTGATTTATTAGATCACCAGGTTAGAAGGCTAAGTCAGCTTTGGCTATGGTGTAGTAAACATCTTCATCTTTTAAAAGGCATGTAGTTCATTCGGAATTTTTAGGAACTTATTATTTGGCAAAGTCTCTTAGAAAGAGATGGTCATCTTCGATATTCGATTTTGACAAGTATTTTTTGGGTAACTATCATTGATCTTCATAATGCTTTCATGGTCCTGAATACAGACGGGTTAATTTATGGTCAATTGAAAATGTAAATGAAAACACTATTATTTGATCAGATTAATTGAGATGCTCTGGCCGAAAAATAATGCAGGTAAAATCCGAATCAGACAGACAGATTGAACTCACTGTGCAAAATAGAAAAAAATAGATGGGGAAGTTTCAACCCAATTTAAAAGACATCCATTATCAGCTGTCACTTTTGATTAATACATATTACAAGGGTATTTGACACGTGTAGGATGAGAAAAAAGACCCGGACACCTGTTGGAGCCCCTGGGTAACTTGAAGATGAAAAATTGTACAAATAGCCATGTCATTATAATTACTCTTCAAGTCAGTAACTAATGGCCAGGATAGTCTGAAATTAGTGGAAAACATTTCTGGAACTTTTCCTTTTCGAATGGCAATGGAACAGGTGAGTGATAAAGGTTCTCACAGGCCTGTTATGTATTTCATCACAAAAGGTGGCCTACATGAACGAGATTGATTGACAAGTAATATGATAAAAGTTAATATTTTCTTGCTGATGTATTAACAAAACACAAATATCCATCTGCAATTAAAATGGTCTTAACCAGTACTTTGCTCAAGTTATTTTTCTTATGAAATGTGCATTTAACTTAGAACTTGAGAAGGAAGCAAAAACATGATTTCCTTGGGGAAGGCTTATTTTGATACTCATAAAATCAGGTATGTATGTAATCCATGGATCAAAAAAACTAATACAGCTGAAGTGTATTTAACAGTAGTGGGCATAACAGGCCGAAGACAAGTCGTCTGTGATATCATTAGTATATACATAAGCTGATGACAAACTGTGATCTGTGATGTAAGTAGTGTATATAACATAGGCCAATGATGAACTGTGGTCTTTGATATTAGTAACATAAGTTGATGATGAACTGTGGACTTTGATATTAGTAACATAGGAGGATGATGAACTGTGGACTTTGATATTAGTAACATAGGGTGATGATTAACTGTGGTCTGTGATATCAGTAGTGTACATAACCAAAGCCGATGACAAGCTGTGGTCTGTGATATTAGGAGTGTACATATAAACAAGAGGCCTAGTGACCTTGACAGTCACCTGAGATAAGCAATATTGAATTTAAAGGTTAAAGGATAGTTATCAAGTGTCATGAGACAGAAATTGTGGCATTGAATATAGACAGTGTCAATACATGCATAGCATCAAAACTGTCATCCTATACTGATAATTCTTATAAAGTTATTTCCCAACGTTATGCTCAAAAATACAATTTTTCTATGAAAATTACATTAAAGTCTAAAAAAATATTTCTCCACAGGAAGAAATGTGAGACTCATTTTGGTAATTAAAGTACCTTAAGATGCTTCCATTCAAGGAGAGTATTTGATCTACCATATCTAGGTCTTGAGAAGAAGCTTTTTGAAATTTAAGCGAATTTGACAGCTTTTTGCCCCGCCCATCAACCCCTTGGGGTAAGTCAGGATCAATATGGTCATACCATCAAGCTGTCATCCTTCACTCATAATTCTAACCAAGTTTGAAATATTTCCAATGGAAATTTAACAAATTATGATCAAAAATCAAATTTTCCTATATAAAATATAGTAAACTTTACCCCCTCCCCATGGGGGAAATGTGAGACCCTGGGGCCATTAAATTCACAATTTTGGTAAAGCACCTTAGATGCATTAATTCATGAAGAGTATTTGATTCTACCATTTCTGGGTGTTGAGAAGATTTTTGAAATCTTTTTGGCCCAACACTCTGGCCCCAATTATGGTTCATCTTAGGCCAGGGAAGGTTTTTGCAAAATTTCATTGAAATTGGATCAGGTTTTTTGTTTACAGATGCACAATGCTGGATGAAGGGTAGCAGAATAGGCAACCATGAGACTTTGTCTCAAGTGACCTAAAAGGGCTGTTGACAAGTTGTCTCCGATATCAGTAGTATACATAGTGATGACAAGCTGTGGTCCGTGATATCAGTAATGTACATAACGAAGGCAGATGACAAGCTGTGGTCTGTGATATCAGTAATATACATAACAAAGGCCAATGACAAGCTGTGGTTGGTGATAACAGTAGTGTACATGACCAAGACTGATGACAAGCTGTTGTCTTTGATAACAGTAGTGTACATGACTTAAGGCTGATGACAAGCTGTGGTCGGTGATAAAAATAGTGTACTTGACTAAGACTGATGACAAGCTGTGGTTGGTGATAACAGTATTGTACTTGACTAAGGCTGATGACAAGCTGTGGTCTGTGATAAAAATAGTGTACTTGACTTTAGGCTGATGACAAGCTGTTGTCTGTGATAACAGTAGTGAACATGACTAAGGCTGATGACAAGTTGTGGTCGGTGTTAACAGTAGTGAACATGACTAAGGCTGATGACAAGCTGTGGTCGGTGATAAAAATAGTGTACTTGACTAAGGCTGATGACAAGGCTGATGACAAGCTGTGGTCTGTGATAACAGTAGTGTACTCGATTTAGGCTGATGACAAGCTGTTGTCTGTGATAACAGTAGTGTACTCGACTTAAGGCTGATGACAAGCTGTGGTTGGTGATAACAGTAGTGTACTTGACTAAGGCTGATGACAAGCTGTGGTCTGTGATAAAAATAGTGTACTTGACTAAGGCTGATGACAAGCTGTGGTCGGTGATAACAGTAGTGTACTCGATTTAGGCTGATGACAAGCTGTGGTCGGTGATAACAGTAGTGTACTTGACTAAGGCTGATGACAAGCTGTGGTCGGTGATAACAGTAGTGTACTTGACTAAGGCTGATGACAAGCTGTGGTCGGTGATAACAGTAGTGTACTTGACTTAAGGCTGATGACAAGCTGTTGTCTGTGATAACAGTAGTGAACATGACTAAGGCTGATGACAAGTTGTGGTCGGTGATAACAGTAGTGTACTTGACTAAGGCTGATGACAAGCTGTTGTCTGTGATAACAGTAGTGTACTCGATTTAGGCTGATGACAAGCTGTGGTCTGTGATAACAGTTGTGTACTCGACTTAAGGCTGATGACAAGCTGTGGTCTGTGATAGTGATAAAGGAAATGACAAGCTAAGACTGGTGAAAGTATCTTTAGAGTACAAGGGACAAAATAAAATTGAAGATATCAAACTTTGATTAACATCATTCAAGGTGCAATGTGATTCTCACAGCAATAATGAGGACAAAAGACTACAGAGAAATTTCTGTGAGTTTAATTATATTACAACGTAACATCATAATACATACTTGTATATATACAGAAACTGTGATATACACATTCTATAGACATCTCATTATCTACAAATTGAAGCAAATATGAAACCAAATACATATTTGTTATAATTAAAAGATCGCCATGAACACGTCTTTAGTACACACTGTACCAGATATATACAATTTCAATGGATATACATGAAAGATGTTCTCTTCAACTTAATCACAACAATAGAAACATGAAAATATCAAAGCTTTTGTCAATTGCACAAGATAAAAACACTTCTGACTTGTTGAAATGACAATAAAAAGATCAAACAAAAGGATATGGAATGAACCATGACCGAGTTACTTTTGAGCAAATCACTAACATGCAGTGTCTTTTAAAAAGCATGACTACATGAATATATAGATTTCCAACAACATTACCAAATTACAGGCTAACAGAGTGTTTATTGATATTTCAGTAGCCATATGAAGGTATATGCATGGTAAGATTTCCTCTGCGTACAATGTGACAGACTCTCCTTGTTTCAAGAATACCTTTAATTACTGTAGTAAAAGCTTAAATGTGAAATATATATTTTCAGATCTAATGCACCTAATATCAGTGTTATGTGGAAACAAAAAATTGGTCAATAATGACCAAACTTTATCAATTAACTTCTATAATGTTCACACCAATACACAAAGATAATACTAGCATCATTTGTAGACCTACACTATTATTTCTATCTTAAAAAATGACACCAGGAATTTGTGATATATATGATCAAAAAATTTGTCAAGGACAAATATTAAAATTGACATGTAAATGTTAGCTATTGAAATTTTAAATATTGAAAAGAATTAACTGGGTACGGATGTTCTACAATATTCTATGTATTAGGATTATTCTAACATCACACAGATATATCTGTATCTTACAAAATCTTTTTGTCTATACGAAATACAAGGTTGTAGCAATGTTCATGAAAATTACGATAGTTTTAGTAAAAGGTTATTTTAAAAAATTACAGTACATGTATATGCATTGATGATACTGCAATCTATAAGTACTGTGACCATCTGAATACTCATTAACAATATAATCTCTTTTAAGAAAACATGATCTACTAATGTTCACTAGTCATGATAAATAATCTGATGAAATAAATAAAGACTGAATTCTGCAAGCTTCATCTCAATTTAATAAAGGTGCTGGCGGTACTTCAAGCCAGCATATTTATGCTACCAAAAAATTCTGTAAAGCAAACCTAAATAAGCATCACAACAAGATTATAACAAAATAATGTAAGGAATTCTGGACCAAAGTTAGCACAACAGTGTGACTATCTGTGCAGGTATACAGCTTTACAGTTTCTAGAGTCTGGTAAATGTAACCAGAATACTCTCCAGTTTAAAGGTCCAACAAAATAACTAAATAACAGGTATACAAATCCAAATATGTTGTATTACTATATCTAGCATTGTTAGTACTACTCTGCTGTGTAAACTTTGGTCATAATGTGGAGAAAAAAAATGGCATTCTCTAGAACACCTGGAGATATTGTACTTAAGTTTACAACATAGGAATCAACCCTCTTCTCCCCTAACGAGAGAAAGATTCCAGTTGTTTTTCAAGTTCCAATTCAATCTTTATATTGGAGTATGGTATTCCAAAAAGGATTTAATCACCTCACATAACTATTGGGTGTTGTCTTCTCCCGTGCGGTGGTTGACATCTATACTACAATTATAATGATGCTGAAAAATGCCTCCACAGCACCATTACAAGATATACATAGTCTATATCAGATAGAATCCTGTTTATCTGTATCCAGATCAATATATACTTCACTTGCCATAATGGAATTCAAGTGCTCTTACTTGTATGCAAATTATTGCAATCATCAATTTGCAAATCCACTATTATTGCTATATGAACCGCATTCAGAGACTGCAACAAGTTGAATCACTTTTCATCACAATGATTTCAACTTGAAAAGTGATTAAGTAACACCACACCTATAACATGTAAGTTGACATAAATACATTCAAGTGTAAATAATTTTGTTTTTAGTAATGTCAATATTTTAGCATTTTCTATAATATGATTTGGACACAAATACATGTGAAGATATAAGACTACCAATATTGGAATATCCTTTAAGCACTGTATATCTCAAAACATTTCCAGGCTAGTTATTTTTCTGTCTATATTATACTAGACAATACATTGATTGGGGGATCACAACTGACAGATCTATCTACTTCTCTATAGCCAAACTTAGGTCAATCTTTTACCTATCATAGACATAGAAATGTCACAAGCTATAAACTGCTGGATTTCATTCTGTTACAGACAGATACTTCCTGCACACACTAACTACTGACAAAATGTGTTTGGAGATGGTTCACACTTATACATCATATTCACATGAAACATAACAGTCTCTTTACATGGAATTGACTTCTCTGACAGGAAGTCCATTAAACTTAACAATAGCTGTAACAATACCCCCTCTATAAGTCACTTTTTCTCACACTCAGCTTTTCGTTTTGACAGGGTTACATGGCCTGGCTAATAAACCATTGGTGCACCTCAATGTTTAAACATCAAACAGTAAGTTAATAACATGCTGTATGTTCACCGGTTACTCTTCCTTTCACATATGATTGAGATATATATATATATATATAATGCCCTTCCTAATGCATAATACAAGGTGTTATTTGGAAGTCCCAGACACAGATGGCAATGCAGTAAAATTCATTCAGTGCCCAAGTCCCAGTAAAATTTGTAACAGAAAACAGGTTCTGTTTGAAATACAAAATAAATATTTACTTTTTTTCATCCTCATTTATTAGTCTATTTATACCATAAACCTGAAAATATGTGAAGGTTGTAAATGACAGTGGAATAATCCAATTATCCTTGTATAGATTGTAACTGGATTACAAAACAACTGGGTTAACTTCCTTGCAGTTGTACTGTATATACTGCATAAAGATAGGAGAAACCGATAGTTGACTCTTTGATGTATATGTTGTTATTTATATAGAGTCTGGGCTATACTGAGTTCCCTAAAATCCATGTAAGATGTATACCTGTCTGTCCTAAAGGTAATTATCAGGGGCCTGTATCTGAGTGGAGTGAGGTCATCCGTGTCCAAAATACATCTAGTCTGAGCAGCAGTCTCAGACAACAGATAAACATTTATAACTCTCTAGATATGCAAAAGACATAACGATCCTGTGCACTTTAGTCCCAGTCAGTTCCACATACAGGTAGTAACCTTAGTGAGGCAAGTCCACTATCACAGTGACATAGTTGACAGGGAAGTAGCCAGTGGTGCCATGGATAGAACCCTCATACCAGTTCTCGTCAATCTGAGAAATAAGGTTGATGACATCGCCCTCCTTGAAACCAAGTTCCCCTTCATTTTCAGGGTCAAAATCATATACGGCTTCACAACAAGGCTGCTTCTTCTCAGCTAGAAGAGAGAAAAAAATTTCACAAAAAATGTTACAATGATAAAAACGACATACTTATTTAGTACCTTTTGAAATAAAGTAAAGTATTGCAAACAATCTGAAATTTTCTATTGCTAAAAAAGCTCCATCAGAAGTGAACAAAGGGCCATAACTCTAGATTAAGTAGAAATCAAGCAGGCGACACTCTATCTTCTCAGTCTGTATTTATATACAAAACAGAGCAAGAGTAAGGCAACAGAGTAAATGAGTTCAGATTGAATTAAGTGAAGAGTCATGGACTAAAACTTTCTATGAGAAGAATGATGATAACGACAGGTCCCAAAATATGACCAGGATTTAAACATTATATTTTTTCTATTTTGGAATTTACCTTGTGCATACTGTGGGGAAGAATTGAAACTGTAGCTGTTCGTACTCCCCTTGTCAAAGTCATTAGTGGACTCGTAGAAATTGGCTGGCGAAGGTGTCCTGTTTCTGATAGATGCTCTCTTTGGTACATGTTCTGATTTTGGTCTTGACATGGCATGGTTTCGTCTGTTCACATCATAAACAAAGGAGAGTAAGTTTACATAATAATTACATACAATACAAAAGATACCTAGTATGTTGTATGCACAGTCTTTAGATCATATTGTTCTAACTTAATATTTTGGTATCAATGATAAAGTATAGGTTTATAATGTAGTATGCATTCACAGTTTGTTCAAATTATTTCTAAATCATCCACAATATTATATTCAAAATGAGGTTAGGTCAGATTTAATGATGATAAATACAATGTGCCATATTTTTTAACAAGAGGGTCAAGGCCCTTAATAGTCATCTGACAATCAACAAATAAATGTACAAACAACAGTATTTGTCGATGGTGGTCTAACAAATTTGATAAAATTCAAATTTTGAACATCCCTAGAAAGTATCAGAAACTCATAAATGGTTGGTTCTGTTCATGAAAAACAGTTGCACAATCTTGTTACAAAATGGCTACTGGTTACCATGTTGACCTTTTGATCAAGCTGAAAAATAATAACCTATCATCTCTTTCATTCAAATCAAACTCCCAATTTTTCTCAAGGGTGTGAATGAAACGTTGTTGTTCGGTTTATTTGTTCAAGACGAGTAATGTTGGATTTTGGACCAAAGCGAAAAAAATCAGATTTGTTAAGGACAACCACAGGATCACTTCATGCATGTTTAATATCATTGTCAGTCCCTGATAATGTATCGCGCCAAATTTGGTTGTAATCTACCCTGCCATTAAGAAGGAGTAGCATTATTTTCTTTTTTAACAAAATATTATCTAAACTTCTCTTTATGAGGCCCCGTCCCCAGTTTCTAAGAATAAAATCAACTTTCTGAATTAAAGAAATGATTTCCCACCCACAATGATTTTTCAGACCAAATCTGGTTGAAATCTATTCTAGCATTAAGGAAAAGCAGCCTTTTTTAAGCAAGATATTGATTAACTTCAAATCAACTTTCTTTATTTAAGAAATGATTTCCCACTAACAATAATGTTTCAGACCAAATTTTGTCCAAAATCCATTTAAGCAACAAGGAAGAGTAATGTTTTATTAACTAACTTCCCTATTTGTTGCCCCTTCCCTAAGTCCCTTGGAGTAGAATCAACATTATGAATTTAAGAAATGATTCCCATCTAAAATGATATTTTGTACAACAATTGGTTTAAATCTGTTCAAGCATTAAGGAAGAGTAGCATTCCAGTATATTAACTAATTTCCCCTTAAGGGGCCCCTGCCCTAATGTCCCTAGGGGTCCACACAATGTTCTGAAATCAAGAAATAATTCCCCACCCTCAATGATATTTCAGACCAAAATTAAGTTAAAATTCATTCCAGCATTAAGGAATGGTAGTGATTTCAATGAAAATATTAACTAACTTTCCCATTTTGGGGCCCCCCTCCCAAGATCCAAGGGTCTAATCAACTTCCTTAAATTAAGAAATGATTCCCGACCCCCACCCTCAATGATGTTATGGACCCCCCCCCCCCCCCCCAAGATCCAAGGGTCTAATCAACTTCCTGAAATTAAGAAGACCTAAAAACAAAACTTTTGCTTCAAATTTAAAGGAACCTACTTTGTTTCCAAGGTGGTCAGCAGGCTTTGTAAAACATCTACAGCTGAGCGATGATATTCAACTTCTGCCTCAACAAAAGACTGCAATTGTGCTATCTGTTCCACCTTTGATTACAAATAAAAAATAACCTGGTACATCTGAAGTCATAACGTCACTGGATACAAAACTTTCATATAACTCTTGTATTTACAGTTTTAACAAAAAAAAAAAAAAAAAAGATAATTTGAATATCTATGAATTATTTCAATGATGATTTGAAAGCTTAGCTATCTCCAGTTCAAGAAACTTCTAAAAACTGACAAATAATGGGTTTTATTTTCCTTAAACCTGTAACAATATGAGGTGCTCCTGAAATAGGAGTCTGTGATGGTGTGTAAGCAACACTGGTCATTGGTAACTCCAGTCACTTTTCAATACTAATTACAGTTATTGTTACAGTAAACTAGCAGCAGTATTTCTGTTCATATCTTCAATGTATCAATGTGTAAACAACCAATCAACATACTTAAAATCAGGCTTCTTCATATAAAGTAATTCGTTGATCCGTAATTTTTCTGACCTAAACAATATCCCACCATATGATATAGCTTGTTTCTCAGGTTCATATAATGCTTCAATGGCGAGATCATTATTTTAGGAAAATTTTTTAACATGGCTGCCACTTTTGAAAAAAACATTTCACAAACAATATCCTATCATAACTTACATCATTTTCTAATAAGTTGAACATAGCTGTTTCAGCAAGTTCTTTTGATTCCTCAAACTTTTCTTCTGCAACTCTAATCTCTTCATCAGTGATAGTTGATCCTGAAAAAAACATGTTTCACTATCACAAATTTTACTGACATAAGGAAGTACTAGTACAGCTGAAAGAACAGACCCAATGAAGTACTAGTATGCCTGAAATAAATCTGACATTTTCAAAAGAAATTCTGCATCTTTCGGACTTTTCACGTGAGGACAAATATATTCTTGCTTAATAAGCCTACTCCTCCAGACTGCACATACCATTGCCTAGTACCAGGATGACATAAGCAAGCACTGCTTGTCAAGTTACAAAAGCAGAGGCTAAATTTTTTTCTCAGTATTAGGTGTTGTTATTTCTCTCCATAGTAATCAAAATTCTGGCCTAGTGGTCTGACATTTAATGCAGTTAACTGAAGGGAATTATATATAGCACCGACCCAGATGATATAAACAAATACTAGCATTTTAGAAGGACAACAGAGATGCATTACAATTTACATTTAGATTTACATTGTTAGACTTGTAAAGTCCTTTTAATTTACTAAATGATATGTAATCCAATACGATAGTCACATATGTTGAACCTGTGTCTGCACAATGTGACAATGAATACACAATATCTGTCCAATCTTGGTGTCCTGTAAGCAAATTTCAGGTTAAAGAATACATTGAAGAATTAAAATAGGCCTGGCATTTGTAACCTCAGTCCTGTACCATCCTGTACTACATTGATAAAAAATTGTGAATTTTACACGAAATAAAACTTTAAAATACACATATTGTTAACTTCTGAACAATTAGCATTTTGAACAGTTTCATTGTGAAAGGCTAATATCTATCATTTAATACAAACGTCTGTTCACCCTCAAAAATTCATATACAAGAACAAATATCTCCATGTTTATGTGGCAAAGTTTTACAGTCTTTTTTTCATATGTGTAAAGTTAGTCTTTTGTAATACTGAATGAAATGAATATTGGTAGTCCTGATAGACACAAAAATCCTGTTTGTTTTTTTCATCAATGTTTCAAGCCAGGAAATATTAATTGTTTTTTAATTAATGTTCTTAACAGTACAGACTTTCAAGATAAGTTCTAGTACAATCCAAATACAACTTGGCTGCCTAAAGTTTAGATTTGAATTGTGCATATCAAATACATCCTCTCTGTAAAGAATAATGCTAAGATCATTCCTGATAGTGAACATAGTCTTTTACAGCAGTGTCTAGCTGCATGGCCATCAGCGTAAATTATCATCTAAGATAGCCATCAGTATGCCTTTACCTTCATCAAACTGCACTTTCTTCTTTACTCAAGGTTATTTGCATATATCAAGTGATAACAAGAAATCAATACAGACAACTAAAAATTGTACAGGTATGTTATTAGATGTTCAATTATTAATTGTCTTGCGTGTGAAGAAAAGCGCATTTTAAGAATATTTTCAAATAGATGACTTATTACAAATCTGTATACACTCTACAAGACCAATTGTCAGTTGGGAGCCTTCGATAAATAAATAAATGAAAAAAAAAAAAATTGAAAATTCAAAAAGAATTTTTTTTAAATACATTCAAATAAAAACAAGACAAATAAAAGCTCTGCAAAATACAGGGTTCTATGTGGGATGCCAACATGCAAAACAGGTAAATGATCTGGTTATACATGCTTGTTCATGCATTCAAAATTCCCAGTATCTACACAATATTCAACTATGCAGAGGGCACATCTGTATATTTGGACCTATAATCCATTACATCACATGCTTTACAGATGATAAATATAATGCTCATGACCCTGAATCCCAATTGTTTAAATGATCACCCACAAACTGATGACAACCACCCACAAACTGATGACAACCACCCACAAACTGATGACAACCACCCACATCTTGATGACAAATTCCACTTGAATGGTTTACTAACCTGATAAAAGACAAGACAACCATTGAGAACTTAAGAAACTCTGATGGTTCCATACAATATCACTTCTATACCCCAACACAGAACCGAAACCATACATGCTATTCATTTGTACCATTTCCAATCTGAAAAGGTTTTTTCTCCCCACATTTCTTCCATGATTGCCTTCAAATCATTCCAAATAACAATGACATCAATATTCTTGTGTCTCTCGACCATTTAACAATAATCACAGAACATGCATTTCCCCATTACCTACCCATTTCTCAGGGTCAACTTTCACCGTAAACAAAAAACATGAGATGCAGTGAGATCTGAAGGGGTCGTGTAACCAGTGTATACAAGAATATACCACCACAAAAGCTACAAAACAAAGCTAGCTGTAAGTATAAGAATGAGTGGACAAGTTACCTGACTTCTGTGCTCCGGACTCTGTCAGAAGGGAGACATGAAGGAACACAGTGGGTTAGTGTGCAAATACAAACCTCCAAACATGGCTGCATTGTAGCTTGTACACGCTCACAGCTATTTCATGGCAGCGTTCAATATATGGTGATATCATTGTGGTACACACTGACTTTTAGATTAATGGAAATATTTATTTTTTATAGTAAGGTTTGTTTTTATTAATTCACTTAATTTCTGTAGGGGTAGTTGTCACTGAGGTGTTGAGGGCAGCGGGGGCGTTAGAAAAAAGGTAACTTAAGAGTAAACAATGGACAGTTATCTATTTTGTATTCTTCATTGAAGATATTATGTAAGAAAAGATAACAAAATAATGTACATATATGATATTATGTCTTGCTGACATATACAACTCCTTAAAGTTTAACTAGTGTCACTTCTATACATTTAATATCTTATTTCTTTACCCTAACTGTGTATTTATTTGTAATTTCTCCCAAAAAATACAATTAGTATATGGAAATCAGAGGGATATGGATGGAAATCAGAGGGATATGCAAAATGTTGATATAGATTCTTTTATAACCTTAGAATATTTTAGTTTTCACAACCATGTACACATAAAAATATGTACAAAAACATTTAAAAAAAAAATCTGCTTAATCATACATAAAATTTTATTGGAAAAAAGGAATGTGAGGAAATGTCTTAAGTGGAATATGGGAGAAAAGTGCTGCAAAATTCCTATAAAAATTCATGAATAAATGTATGACGTTGAGTCAGTCGCTTTCCAGTGCACAAAAAGCATAAGGGTTGTCTCCCTTCACCAGGCTGTATATGGTATATATTATGTTCACGGATAATAATGTACACACAACACCCAGAAATTTCTAAAAGAATGTGAAATCTACAGTTCAGAAAGCAATTTCTAATTCAAGTGAAACAACAGTCCTATACTCAATAGCATCTTGGAATTTCAAACCTCATACGCAATAGTCATTTAGATGATAAATCTATTTGATTTTGATCATGAAAATTACTACCACAGCTGATAGGTAAGTTAAATCAGATACCAGATAGTTCTGGTCATATACAATGTATATCACAGTCATGGGTACAAATCATTCAGAAATCATATTTTCTCTAAAAGTCTAAACACTTAAATTTACAATAATATGCTGCTAATTAATGTCAAGCTATTCAAATAATAAAATTGTATGAAAACATGCATACTTTATTTCCATAGAAAGCAAAAAGTCTTTTACGTAACATTTAAGTAAAAGGCACATGTTTAAACAATTATCCATGAGAGAAAATAACACGAAGTTGCATAGCTAGCAATCTCGACACTAAATTATTTGGATACAACACATCAGGACACTGAAACGTCAAAAAGTATCAAATCAATACAATAGCACAGCATTCTAAATCTTTTAAAGATTTATATATTGAAAAAAAAAATAATTAAAAAAACAATGCACAGCAGATAGGCAAAGAAGCACATCAGCTAATACAAGGAACATGTGCCTACAACATATAGCCATTAACACTCCCAAATCTTTAGTCAAGCATCTAAATACTTTAACCTGTCAAAACTGAACCTTACACAAACTGGAACTTCAAGCATTTAAACAAGCTCGAGTCTGTCAAAACATAACCTTCTACAATCTGAGAGTCAAAGTCAGAACCTGTCAAAACTTGACCTTATAAAATCTGGAGCTACATTGTACTATAGGTGTATTCACACATAACCTATTGCTCATATAATTATCTCCCCTTTGCCCAACCCAAATGTAATAAAATTACAGAATGAAATTCTAAATTTGAATACAAAAGTTGATTATAAAGGTAGATTTCAAAATTGGGAATTTCACACATGACCTACTATATCTAAAATTGTAAATTGATCCATCAACACCCTCCATCTCATATTTGATAGTTGAACATCCTAAATGCCTGACAATATACAATAACAGAAATATTGTCAGCTAATATCATATGTGCTATATGTCTTGCAAAGACCCCATATCAAATGACTTTCAGTGATGTAATGTTCTTAAACTCTGAAAATCGATGAACTACTAATTTCTCATTGAAATAATAATTTGTTGTCACTAGCTACAGGGTTATACCTAAGATCTACCCTTGGACAGGACTGTGTATACACCACTGGACAAAATACACAACAACAAGAAGCATTAATGTTAATAAAATATGGATTCTAAACACCAGATCATTAATACTGTACATATTAAATGGGTCTGTGTCTCATAATCGTCCCCAAATTTGGGAAGCATTTTACGCATTTTTCCATAAAGCGGTAAGTTTTTTTTTTGCTGAATCCTGATTAATGAATTATTGCAGTAATACACACATAATGACACATTATGAAATGAATATTGAAGCGGCAAAAATGTCTACATGTTAGACTAACCAGCATGGAAATGCCCACTATACCAACTTAAATAGAAGTTAATGAATTTAGGAACTTATCCCATGACGCTATATATATAGTGTATGAAGATATAATCCAGTGATTTAGACAGAAGTTATATTTTTCACAGGTTAAAAATCCAACCTCAAAGATGATGACAATTATGATATTGTGAACAGTACTACTATCACCAAAGTGACAGGACCATATATTGACTACATGCAAGTAAAGAATGCGATACTTAAGTGAAAATGAGGTCACAACTTTGGTAGATGACCTAAGTGCAGAAAGTGCCATGGTACTAACCTCCTGTTGGGAGAAAAAGGCAAAAGGTTAGGTCAACATCTCCGTACCTACATCTTATGGAAGGTGATTATATCACTCAGGGTACATCTCAAAACCTATATCTTATGGAAGGTGAACACCTCCATACCTATATATATCACTATATTAATCAGGGTACATCTCAAAACCTATATCTTATGGAAGGCTGTTTTTCACTCAGAGAACACCTCCATATCTATATATTATGGCAGGTACCTATATTACTCAGGGTACATCTCAAAACCTATATTATATGGAAGGCAATTTTATTACTCAGAAAACACCTCTATATCCACATTTTATGAATGGTAACTATATTATTCAGGGAACACCTCAACACCTACATCTCTTGAAAGCTGAGTATATTACCCAGGGAACACCTCCATATCTATATCTTATGGAGGGTGATATCTAAATCTTATGAAAGGTTCATCACTTTGTCTTTCCTTACTCTCACCAGAAAGATACACACATAAGCTGCACAATCATCAACATTTACTTGTAGCGTTTCATTATAATCAGGGCTAGCTCTGGCTCTAAATTGTGATTCGCCAAAATCAGTCTGACAGTCTACGTTTTTAGCAAACCAGAGATCATCCTCATGTAAATAAATTAATAATAGCAATAAACAGTGTTTGTTTTTGAAGTGATGGTCCCTAATTATAATCACAAGATAATGATTATTAACTAAGAGTGTGTATAGTGAGTGTCTGATGCTACAGGCAGACCTGACAGCCTGTGGCCCCTTACTTGTGACATGAACCTCATGCCTGAGGCGATAGCAGGGAGTGAGATAATTATATTTGCATACCTAATGAAGTCAGTGGCAAAGTGTCTAGGTGGGTAAGACTTGACATGCCCATGACTGGCAATTTTAGTCATTGGGGCAGTGAAATGTAAGTGTATTTTGGCAATTTCGCCAAATGCAATTTTTAAATTGCCAAAGAGTTTTCATATTTGCTATTGACACTAAGGGGACTGACAGCGCGAGCCCTGATAATTACTCAAATAAACATTCTCAGTTCGAGTAAATATGTGACACGATATATCCAGATCATTTAGGTACACTTACATCATCTTTGTACCAAACAGATCATAACACTGTGGTGACATGATCACACCATGATCAAAGCTACACAATTCTATCCATATAAAGTTGATGCACATGTCTACAAAGAAACCAACACACACACACATTATAGCCATGCTATATACTGTAATGGCCTGATCACTGAATTTTCTTATCACTACAGAGACAGTTGAAAATAGCCACCATTGTATGCTAACAAGACCTTTCAGTTTGTATAATATAACAAGAATTTAAGAATATACCTTTATCCTTTTTCCTCCTCTTACAGTCGAAGTCCAGTCTTCGTCCTGACAACTTCTTTCTGTGGTGCTGAAATACAAGATGAAAATTTCCTCTGATTAAGGCTTATACAGGTATCATAACAATCCTTTAATGATACCAGTACTAAAAGTACAATTCAGACATAAGATTTTCCTTAGCATACAGTAAAGTGCTGTCACAATGAAATATCAATATCAGTTAACTAAGCATCCAATGGGGATGAATGATTTGACATTTTGCCAGATTTTGTGAATGAGACCATTTGTAGTAAAAATTTGAAAAAAAGTTTGTCAAAGTTTTATTACAATTTGTGAAAACAGAATCAGTGATAAATTAAGTTTTAATTGCTCCATTCATCATTACTTGTGTAATGCTATAGGACTAGATGAAAAAAGTTTCCAATTTAATTTGTTTCCTGAAATCAATTAGCCTGTTATTTAGAAATATAACCTTCAGCTTTTAACACACAATTTTTTTTTTTCAAAGAGAGATTTTCTATACAAACTGCAGACTAAGACAGATTGGGCAAAAACAGGGCATTTTTCCATAAGGAATGGTGCCCATTACCGGATCCTACAAACGCCTGGAACAATTCCTCTTGTATTATGCATGATTGTGAAATGATTAGAAACTTTCCTACACTTCTTTCCTGTCCTTGACACCATAAACACAGCGGTGCAGGAGAAAAACAGAACCAAGTCCAATCACTGTTAACAATACCTCAAATTTAAAGCAGCTACACCTTTAAGAGTTATGTTTTTCAGTTCTCCTTCTGCTAAGTTTGATTCCCCAAGAAACCATGAAAGCATCACCAGAATGTCATGAATTCATCAAAGGAAACCTTGACTCAACAAGTTAAAAATCATCAACATCTGACTGTTAGGTTTAGATGAAAAAAGTTTCCATTTTAATTTGTTCCCTGAAATCAATAAGCCTGTTTTTTTTTAGAAATACAACCTTCAAATTTAACACACATTTTTTTTAAAAAAGATATTTTCAATACTAACTGCAGACTAAGACAGATTGATGTGAATTTGGGCAAAAACAGGGCATTTTTCCATAATTCATCATAGGAAATCTTGACTCAACAATTCATCATAGGAAGTCTTCATCAACATCTGACTGTTAATTTTAAGAAACGATACATTTAGGGCATTTTAGACAGTTACAGATTTGAAGTGATACATGTATTACTGCATCAAAATTAGATTAAAAGAATTTCCAATATCTACCTTATACTGTGACGAAAAAGTGATTCAAGAAAAAATTTATTATCCGAATAGCAAAATCAAGCTGTATAACATGAGTTGGAATGTACTCTATGAGGCAAACAATATATAAACTCATGACTAGTTATGCACAGGTAAATACATCAACCAGGCCAACAGATCAAAAATCTTTTCAGTGAAGTTAAATGAAAGATTCCTTAATTTGTAGCTGTAAGGGAAAAGACAAGTCAGAAAAAGGCAGAAACAGATTAGCCATCAAATGTAGGATATGAAAACTAACATTGACTTCCTTGATATCTTTGGCCTGCAGCAGACCAAGGGGTTCCAGGAAATTCTGCTTCACGGTGTCCTCCATGGAATACTTGAGGTCTGCCAGCTGTTTGAAGCTTTCCCCCGCCTCCACCAGACAGGACCCTGACAACAGAACAATCAATAATCAGTGGTAGCAGATACACACCATGGTATCATCTGCCCTATGTCTGTTAACACACAGACACCTTTACAAGAGGTCCAACGAGCCTGCATCACTCATTCTGTATTCAACACTTCTCACTGATACATTATCATTTCAAATAATTGATATTGATTCCAAGAACCTACTAGCAAAATTTAATGGTTATAGGCCCTTTGGCTAATCAGGGGAAGTTGTTTGAATGTTTTTGAAAAATTTGACCCTTGCAACCTTGAATACTGTCAAGATATATTTTTTTCTCAATTTTTTGGGGGGGATTCATCCAAGGAATCATACAGCTTAATAACTATTTTTTTACAGGCTTCAACTTTGACCCTTGTAAACTTGTAAAATCAAGATTTTTTTTCCTGCCAACTTTGTCTAGCTTCATCCAAGGAACCATTGGCTTTTGTCACGATTCTAGGTCTTTTTTTTATAGAGAAGAAATTGTTTTTTAAAGGAAAAGTTAATGCTGGATAGAGAAAAGGGCATCAAACCGCAGTATAGTTTTAGATTTGTCAATGAAAGTTACTTAGTTTTTCTAACTACATATAGCTCTCTTTCTTACGTTTCATTTTTTATATATCAAATAATATACACAACATAGATTTTTTTATCTTTTAATATAATATAGTAAATGTTCATTTCGTTTTCAAGCACAGAAATATCATTGACATCAAAGTTTAAATCAACTTTAAGTAAATCTCTAAATACTAAAATTAGATTTATAATTTTTTATACAGTCCACTTTCAAAGTAGAGATGTCACAGAGCAACTTAATGATGATTAACTATCGTGTGTAAAACACCAGCAACAAGTCTTCAACAGTAAAGAGAACACTTGTGTGATTGAGCATGACATGTGTATATCTATTGAATGAATCAGGCGTCAAATTGGAATTCTGATTGAGACATTAATGGCGTCTCTTTAACCTGTTATCAGTTGGGCACTGTCTAGTTTCTGCTCATCAGCTTCTGTATATCTTTATAATGATTGATATACCTTCTCAAATTTACTTATTTCATAACTGTTGTTAATTAATTGAGGCTGGATTTTAATAATTACGAACAGGAATAGATGTAAAGGAAAGAAAATAATATATATACCATGCTTATGGCCAGAAAATTAAGAAATAGCAGGATTTCAAAGTCCAACAGTTCAATTCCACATGACCCTCATGCTTTTAGCAGATCACTGGTTTGAAATTTATAATTGTTTTCTATTTCCTGTTTTCATTCATCTTAAATCTAGTGAATTAAACCTATGATTCAGGAAATGTTGAGTATATTTGCCGCAACAATATGAAGAGGACCTCAAATTAATCCAATATTTTCTAAGACACTTGGATAAAGCTATATCTGAACAACACTTAGACAATCACACTAGTCAGGTTAATAATACATAGCTCATAAATAAAAACCAGCCCTGATCAGCTGACATTAGAAACACCTGATGTTGGTACATGGTTTGTACAGGAAATAAAACTGTCAACTGCTTATAATGAAGGTACGAAGGGCTGGACCACTTTCACTCTAGATCGCTCGTTCAGAAACTGGTTTTTGTTTTCTTCTCCACTGCTTACAAGAATTTGCCCAGAGCGATTTTTCTAGAGTAGACAGACAAGACAACAATATCACGTGCTATCTTCTCATGGACCAGCTACTACATTATGTATACTCTTAGGTTGAGTATTAGCCAGCCCCTCTTATTTGACTCTCTACAGGTGATCAAAATTACTATATGTCGATGACCTCAGCATGACCCAAATTACCTGATTATACATCACTCATATACCTATGGCCAGTCTATCACAGTATTTCACACTACCACACGCAGGGTAAAGGCTACAGAATCAGGCACCTGTAGTGTGAAACTCCTAGCAGTGTACAACTGAACAGTGTGGAAAATGAGTCTACATATACAGTAAAACCTGTCTTAAAAGGCACCTTTATACAAAGACTGTTTGTCAACAAAGGACACATTTTCGGTTCCCTATGTAATACAATAGTAATTTAACCTCTTTATAAAGACCACCTTTGTATAGTGGCCTTTATAGACAGGTTTGACTATATCATAACTGTGTACAACTGCACAATCACAATCTATGCTGACAAATGAACAGCTCTGTACAACTTGACTGTGTCTGACAATATACATGTTGTACAAATGTACAGCTCTGTAAAACTTGACAGTGTCTGACAATATACATGTTGTACAAATGTACAGCTCTGTAAAACTTGACTGTCTGACAATATACATGTTGTACAGATATACAGTCGGGTAATATGCTGATCCATATTTATTGCTGTTCAGTAACATGATAAATAACATTTCCATGCCCACTGATAAGCTCACTCCTTGACTTGATATCAAGTTCCAGCCGACTGAAGTTATTGCATTGATAGATACGTTAAAATCAAAGTATCAGATCTGTATTAGACAGTATATCACTTTACTATGTAATGATGTATACATCACTCATTTTACTGTTCATCAACACCAATTAAAAAGGAAGTATCTAAATGATGTTAGACAGACTGTCAGTGTCATACATTGTAGATGATACATTAAACAAAAGCAGATCTACACCACTAATTTTAAATAAATACCTACTATATCATATATCACAAACATACAGCAGAATCGAACTTGATGTTTCATCATAAAGATGTACTACAATATGACATTCATCTTTGACCTAGAGAATGTTAGATTGATACAAAAGAGTCCCAATTCTATATATGACAGAGCAAAACCTACATGAAAACTGCTGAAAAGATGGTTACTTGTCTGCCATCTATTTCTGGTGGGTCATACCAAGTATATACCTACAAGAGATCCCAGAGGGATCTTGGTGCCCGCCATTGTTTGATCTTTATTTGCTCTTTGAAAGTTTGATTTTTTTTCCTTCTTTTCTCCTTTGTTTTTTCTCTTAATGATATGACATAGGGGAAATCCAAGATGGCTTACTGTTCAACATTTTGTCTTTTTGATCAGCCATAAAATCAAACAGGCCCAAACTGGGACCAAGAGACACTTACATATAAAATTTGAGAGAGATCCAATGACAACTTCTCAAGAAATAGTATCAACAATTTTCACTAGATAAAATTCAAGATGGCTGTCTGTCAGCCATTTTGTCTTCTACTCAGTCCCAAAATCAAATGGTCTCAAAAAGGGACCAAGGGAAACCTTCATATGAAATTTTAGAGAGATCCACCCAGTACTCCTCATGAACTAGCTACAACAACCTGTACCAGGTAAAATCCAAGATGGTGATCTATCTGCCATTTTATGATTCTTATCAGTCCCGAAATCAAACAGGCACAACTTGGGACGTAAGAGAACCTACATATGAAATCTGAGAAAGATCCATCCAGTACTTCTGAAGATATAGCGATAACATACTTCATTGTAAAAATCTAAGAATGCCTCCTGTTGGCAATTTTGTGTTTATGCTCAGACCTAAAATCAAACAGGCACAACTAGGGACCAAGGAGAACCTACATATAAAATTTGAGAAAGATTAATCATGTCCTTCTCAATAAATAGTGATAACAAAAAATGTTCATGGACAGATGGACAAACAGACTAGGCAACAACTGTATACATGCTTCTCGTAAATTTTTTGGGAGCATGTGGAGACAATCCACCATCTGATAACTGTGGGCTGAAAGGAACACTGGCCTCTGTTGTTGTCATACATAAGATGTTGATGTCAACCTGTAAGCTCCAAATAGACACTGACAAGACAGCAGACAACAGAATGATAATGACAGTCCACATTTCTATAAAAACACTTTGTAAATGTCAGCACATAATTACCAGTCCTCGGCCAGCATTAAGAAGTTTGCAGTCTTCCCAATCATATAAACAAATGGGACTTATGGGTCATTATACAGCAGTATATTATTACAGACTTGTAATTACTGCAGACTCTTGTGTAAATTATAATCAGATAATGAAACGTGCTTAACTGATGAAAAGACTATACTACACAGATACAGTGAATAAATACACCTGTACAGGTATATCTGTATATATACAGTGTACACTTGTGGTCTGAAGTTACACAGGATTATCTCACAATTGTATCAACCAACATTCAACAATAGAAATAAATAAATCAATATTTAAAGCTATACTTGTTGATCAACACATGGTAATTAGATGCTGGATATAGTGACCATTGTCATGTAAGGGAAACACATAACTGGAGATGTTTATATTAGTAAGTCATCTGTCTGTACTCCCTCACCATGTTACACTTCCCTCTTAATATTGAATTTCTTGATAGGGAAGCTTCATCCTGAGGGACAGAAAACTTTAACTTAAAGGAAGATTAAGAAACCAGCTAGAATCTGGTCTGAAATCAAGACTTTTATGATTTATAAGTCTTTGTCATTAGCAAGTTTCCTCATGCATACTTCACTGATTTAAACAACAACAGGATGTGAGAGAGAATTTGTATAAAAACACATGGTCTACATAAATTTACACAACAAGTCCCGGTTTCAATGATTAACGGTCATGTTTTTTCCCTACATCTGCATTCAATGACAGTGACAGAATAACTGTCAGCTACATATATAACAATGATTAGTCAACATTTGTAAACAAGAGATTCTCAGAAATCACAATTACTTTCTCAAAATATTCTGTTAGCACCTTAAGTTCTTAAAAATGAAAGCTACATTTCTACGTATGTAAATGTGAATAGACTTAAATAAAATTGCATGTAAACAAATAATTTTGTTATGTATACCTTATTAAATTTGATGTAGTTATTTCAAAATAACTTTCTAATTAAATAATTAAAATTAAATTCAATCTCAAGTTATCTTATAATTGAAGTTATATTCAATCTTAAATTATCTATCATTTTACTGGGCAGAATTTTTCAGCAATATCCAACCACAAAGCTAGCACAACATGAGGTCCAACACAGCAGAAACATTTGTAT